TGTGAGTGAGTCAGTGCATGGTGTGAGTGAGTCAGTGTATGATGTGTGACTGAGTCAGTGTATGATGTGTGAGTGAGTCAGTGTATGATGTGTGAGTGAGTCAGTGTATGATGTGTGAGTGAGTCAGTGCATGGTGTGAGTGAGTCTGTGTATGATGTGTGAGTGAGTCAGTGTATGATGTGTGAGTGAGTCAGTGTATGATGTGTGAGTGAGTCAGTGCATGGTGTGAGTGAGTCAGTGTATGATGTGTGAGTGGGTCAGTGCATGGTGTGAGTGAGTCTGTGTATGATGTGTGAGTGAGTGAGTGTATGATGTATGAGAGAGTCAGTGTATGATGTGTGAGTGAGTCAGTGTATGATGTGTGAGTGAGTCAGTGCATGGTGTGTGAGTGAGTCAGTGCATGGTGTGTGAGTGAGTCAGTGCATGGTGTGAGTGAGTCAGTGTATGATGTGTGAATGAGTCAGTGCATGGTGTGTGAGTGAGTCAGTATATGATGTATGAGTGAGTCAGTGCATGGTGTGAGTGAGTCAGTGTATGATGTGTGAGTGAGTCAGTGCATGGTGTGAGTGAGTCAGTGTATGATGTGTGAGTGAGTCAGTGCATGATGTGTGAGTGAGTCAGTGTATGATGTGAGTCAGTGTATGATGTGTGAGTGAGTCAGTGCATGGTGTATGAGATAGTCAGTGTATGATGTGTGAGTGAGTCAGTGTATGATGTGAGTCAGTGTATGATGTGTGAGTGAGTCAGTGTATGATGTGAGTCAGTGTATGATGTGTGAGTGAGTCAGTGCATGGTGTATGAGAAAGTCAGTGCATGATGTGTGAGTGAGTCAGTGTATGATGTGTGAGTGAGTCAGTGTATGATGTGTGAGTGAGTCAGTGCATGGTGTGTGAGTGAGTCAGTGTATGATGTGTGAGTGAGTCAGTGCATGGTGTGTGAGTCAGTCAGTGTATGATGTGTGAGTGAGTCAGTGTCGGCTCCCTCTGCTCGCGCCGTCGGCCCCCCCCCCCGACTCCGTCGGCCTCCCCCCAGCTCCCCCGGCTCCCCCGGCCCCCTCGGCCCCGTCGGCCCCCTCACAAACGGCCCCGCCAGCCGCTGCTGGGAGCGTGGCCCGGGAGTGCGCGCGCCTCAGGCGGCCATCTTGCCCCTGAATGGTGACTTTGCGGAGAAAAGTAAAGAGCAGTTTTCCGATAGAAATACTATCCCCGCCATAGAAATGTGGAATTTCCACCACTGGCTCTGCAGGGCTATACCCAGGAAGCGAGCGCCAGTCCCTAAATGCCCACGTGAAAAGTGGATTACGCTGACTGTGTGTGTGTGCGTTTTAAGAGGAGAAAAACCTCTGTTCTGGCATGGTCGTCTCCATCATCCTCTCCTTTCCCCAGTCTCCATGGCGATGCCTGTGGACCCCATTGTTGGTTGCCATGGCGACCCGTTACCATGGTTCCTCGCTTCCGGGTGAGGGGATGCTGATGGGAAGTGGCGCGTGGCTTTTTCGCACTGTTGGTGGGCGTGCGTGTATGTGCGTGCGTGATGTGTGCGTGCTGTGTGTGCATGTGGTATGCGGGTGTGTGTGTACATGGTGTGTGTGTGCGTGTGTGTGTGCACACGTGAATTTATGTGCGTGTGTGTGTGTGCGGCCAGCACGCCGCGCTACGAACCCGGCCACCTGAGTTCGATTCCCGGCCACGACCGCCAACACCGGCGACGCCGATCGATAACTGAGCCGGTCCCAGGCAGCCCTCCGCATCACGAATGTGCACCGAAGCAGCACGGTCAATTATGGTCACACAGCCCCCATGAGGCCGGCACGGCGTGGCGAGGCCTTCATCCAGCAGCAGATTGACCGACGCCTCAGGGTTATGATTATAATTGCATTTTATTACCGCTGTACAACCAAGGGCGTTTGCAGTTAAAGTAGGCCAAGGCTTTGTGCGGTGATGCCTATCCCCCTGAGACCTTTTCACAAAATATCTATAGCCCATCGAGGCGTTCTCTCACTTCCGCGCGTTCCATTTCAAGTTAAAGGCGTTGATTGTTCTTTTACCCGTATTTATTTATTATCGATGTCATCGTTTTCCTCGTTCACCCAGGAGAGAGCCTCGCTGAGTCTTGTGACTTGTTTTCAGGAGGGTCCTGCCAGGTATGGCAGCAGAGTGGTGGTGGTGGCTATGAGATGTTAACTACCTCGCCTGGTATACAGGAGGTCGTGGGTTCGATCCGGACCCAGATGCCTGCTGTATGTTTGGAGTTTGCGTGTCTCTCTCTCTCTCCCCGTGGTCGCGTGGATTTTTCTCCAGGTCCTCCGGTTTTTCGCTCCACATTTGGCTGTTGCTATACATTTCCACGTGATGATGATGATTTCGGAACGAAACAGGTGGACTTCTCCACAAATATGGCTGTTGCCTGATGAAGCTAGTTGTAATTACTGGTGAAACGTTGTACTCAGATTGTAAATGTTGTAGCTTGGCTCTCCAACACACTGGTGTGCTGTACTAGTGATGAATGGGCATGTTCTGTTGACACGACAAACCTTACTTATTGGCTGTCGGGTGGTGGCAGGTTTAACGACACGTTTTAATATTTACGCGATCTAACTCAAACAAAACCTCTATTATGGATGATGATGATGATGATAAGCCGCCGTTGAGCTGCGTTTGTGGTCATGGGGAGCGGTGACACAGCAGTGACACGGCGGTGACACAGCGGTGACACAGCGGTGACACAGCGGAGGCACAGCGGTGACACAGTGGTGGCACAGCGGTGACACAGCGGTGACACAGCGGTGACACAGCAGTGACAGCAGTGACACAGCGGTGACACAGCGGTGACACAGCGGAGGCACAGCGGTAACACAGCGGTGGCACAGCGGTGACACAGTGGTGGCACAGCGGGGACACAGCGGTGACACAGCGGTGACACAGCAGTGACACAGCGGTGACACAGCAGTGACACAGCGGAGGCACGGCGGTGACACGGCGGTTCACGCGCTGTGCCACCGCTGTGCTCTGTGATTCCAGCTCACGGCCAGCGCCGGTGACGATTATCTGAACAGGTCCTGTGCTTCCCCTAGGACGACGCAGCCTCAAATGAGTACCTGGTGCGGTGTGTAAACATCGTCACCGGGGAGACAAAGGCGGTCGGGCGTGGTGCTGGCCACCCACCCCCTCGTGTACCGTGCCGGCCTTTGTAGGCGCTCGCAAACAGCACATGCCCCGACAGTGTGTTGAGGCTAGGCGGGGGATCTTTATTTTTGTGTGCGTGCGTGTCCTTGTTCTCTGGTCTCTCTTTCCGCTCCCGTCGTCGCTCGATTGAAAATCCGAACGCATCCACGACCCTCTTCTCTACACACACTGTGACACTACACTCACACTACACACACACTCACACTACATTCACACTACACTCACACTAACACTACACTCACACTACACACACACTGACACTACGCTCGCACACACACTACACTCACATACACTACACACACTCACACACACTGACACTACACCTACACTCACACTACACACACACTCACACTACACTTACACTACACTCACACTGACACTACACTCACACTACACACACACTGACACTACACTCACACACACTGACACTACACTCACACACACTGACACTACACACACACACTACACTCACACACACTGACACTACACGCACACTGACACTACACGCACACACACTGACACTACACATACACTGACACTACACTCGCACACACTACACGACACTCACACACACTGACACTACACACACACACTGACACTACACTCACACACACTGACACTACACCACACACACACTGACCCTACACTCACACTGACACTACACTCACACACACTAACACTACACTACACACACACTGACACTACACTCACACTGACACTACACTCACACACACTGACATTACACTCGCACACACTGGCACTACACTCACACTGCACTAATGTTTCTCGGCCACAGTCATGCCCTTCCTCCTCTATTCTTCTGAAACGTGGACCCCGCTAATTGAACATCTGCGCTGGTTGCAAACATTCAGGCTGGCATGCCTAAGATCCATCCTGGGTTTAACCAGGTTGGATTGTGTGAGGAGCTCCCAAATCCTTGAAAAATGTGGACACGTTCCCATCGGTGAGTGACTCCAGCAAGCGAGGCTGCATTTGCTGGGTCATGCAGCCCGCATGCCCAGCCACCGCCGGATAGAGGGGGCTAAACGGACGCACACGGCTAGAGAAGAGACAGACTAATACGGTACGGGAGGATGTGGAACTGGGTGGACTTGCCGAAGACTGGTACCAGCATTGTCAAGATCGGCCTCTGTGGAGGCAGTCGCCCTCCAGCAACAGCGGAGGACAGAGGGGCGATGCTCACAACACGAGTGGAGCACAGGGCAGCTAAAACACAGCAAGTTGGCACAGTAGGGGTTACAGCTGGTCATGCATCTATCGGTCATCTTAGTCGGCCAACCCGTGGTACCTGCTGGGTCTGTTCCGAGACCTCCTGCCAGCAGCGAGCATTCGACGCTGCGCGCGGCCTCAAAGTGCACCTGGCCTGGCACGGGCGCCATGGTGACGTCACCGTCACCGAGTGGCGAGTGGTGTTGGTGGGGGGTGTTGGTGCTGGTGCTGGTGTTGGGTGCGGCAGTCAGGGGCTCTTGGTCACGGCAGCGGTGGGCGCGCCGCGCTACGAACATCACGGACCCGAGTTCGATTCCTGCTCGCAGCCACCCCACCGAGTCGCAGCGAATATCGGAAACTGGCCCTGGGCCTCCCCTAGGTCGACTCGGCTTCAAATGCGTCCCCGGTGCGGTGTGTGTAGACGTCACCACCGGGAGACCGAAAGCTGGCGGGCGAGGGGCTGACCACCCACTTGCCCTCGTATGCCGTGCCGGCCTTCAGAGGTTCTACTACCCGCTAGCAGCACTTTCCCCAACAGTCCGGTGAATGGCTACACGGGGATCTTTGTCTTTGTGTGCGTGCCAGGCTGCTCGCTAACATGGGCAGCTACTACGACCTGCGGACTCTGCGTGCCGTCAGAGTGTTACGGCCGCTCAAGCTCGTGTCTGGCATCCCAAGTACTCCCTCGCACTCCCTCGCAAGCCTTCACACTCCCTCACACTCCCTCACTCTCCCTCGCCCTCCCTCACACTCCTCACAATCCCTCACTCTCCCTCGCACTCCTCACACTCCCTCACACTCCTCAACACTCCCTCACTCTCCCTCGCACTCCCTCACACTCCTCACAATCCCTCACTCTCCCTCGCACATCCCTCACACTCCCTCACACTCCTCACACTCCCTCGCACTCCCTCACACTCCCTCACACTCCTCACACTCCCTCACTCTCCCTCGCACTCCCTCGCACTCCCTCACAATCCCTCACACTCCTCACACTCCCTCGCACTCCCTCACTCTCCCTCACACTCCCTCACACTCCTCACACTCCCTCACTCTCCCTCGCACTCCCTTGCACTCCCTCACTCTCCCTCACACTCCCTCACACTCCTCACACTCCCTCACTCTCCCTCACACTCCCTCGCACTCCCTCGCAATCCCTCACTCTCCCTCACACTCCCTCACACTCCCTCACACTCCTCACACTCCCTCACTCTCCCTCGCCCTCCCTCACACTCCTCACAATCCCTCACTCGCCCTCGCACTCCCTCACACTTCCTCACACTCCCTCACACTCCCTCACTCTCCCTCACACTCCTCACACTCCCTCACTCTCCCTCACACTCCCTCGCACTCCCTCACGCTCCCTCCCACTCTCTCTCAATCTCTCAGTCTCTCACACTCTCTCACAACTCCCAACACAATCCCCCACTCTCTCTTGCACTCCCACACACTCCATCAGACTCTCCCATCTCTACCCACGCACACTCTCGATGGCTGCGTTCGATGATGTAGATGATGGTGTAGGCATGAACTGCTGATGGTGATTCTGCTGATGCTGCTGATGATGGCGATGATGATGCTACTGATGATGATGCTGTTGATGATGATGCTTGCTAATGGTGCTGCTTATGATGATGTTGCGACTGATAATGGTGCCGATGATGATGATGCTGCTGCTGCTGATGATCATGCTGCGACTGATGATGATGATGCTGCTGATGTTGATGGTGATGGTGCTGCTTGCTGCTGCTGATGAAAATGATGCTGCTAATGATGATTGTTCAGCTATTGATGGTGGCGATGATGCGGCTTCTGGTGATGATGGTGCTGCTACTGATGACGATACTGCTGCTCCTGCTGATCATGCTGCTGATCATGCTGTTGCTGCTTCTACTGCTGATGACGATCGTGCTGCTGATCATGCTGCTGCTACTGCTGATGACGGTGCTGCTGCTGATGATGCTGCTGCTGATCATGATGATGGTGCTGATGATGATGATGCTGCTGATGATGCTGACGATACTGCTGTGCTTACTACTAATGATGATGATGCTGCTGCAACTTCTTATGATGATACCGATGATACTGTTACTGATGTTGATGCTGCAACTGCTTATTATGATGCCGATGATACTGTTACTGATGATGCTGCAACTGCTTATGATGATGCCGATGATACTGTTACTGATGATGCTGCTGCAACTGCTTATGATGATGTCGATGATACTGTTACTGATGATGATGCTGCTGCAAATGCTTATGATGATGCTGATGATACTGTTACTGATGATGATGATGATGATGCTGCTGCTGATGCTGCTGCTGCTGATGATGCCGTGCAGGTCTGCAGGTGGTACTCAAGTCCATCATGAAGGCGATGATTCCCTTGCTACAGATTGAGCTGCTCCTCTTCTTTGCCATCCTCATGTTCGCCATCATCGGCATGGAGTTCTACATGGGCAAGCTGCACAGCACCTGCTATAACAAACGTCACCGTGCGCACTCTCACCCTCGCCAGCATCACCAGCAGCAGTAACATCATCATCATCATCAAAACCATCATCATCATCATCACAATCAGCAGCCCCAGCAGCATCACCAAAACAATCATCATCACAATCAGCAGGCATCATCAAAACCATCATCACAATCATTAGCAGCAGCATAATCAAAAACCATCAGCAGCAGCATCATCAGTGGCAGTGTTATGAGTATCATCAGCAGCATCATCATCAGCGGCTGTGTTATGAGTATCATCATCAAGCAGTATCATCAGCGGCAGTGTCGCGAACATCACCATGATGGCTGCGTCACTATGGGTGAATGAAGGGTGGCACAGGTGGTGCATCTGCCGCTCATCTCCGTCAGTCGACTTATAACGCCTGGGGTTTGTCCAGGTCACGTGATCTCCTCGACGCGTACCTAGCCTGGCACAAAGCACCGTGTGACGTCACCGCCACCTCAGTCGCTAATGGCGTTTTTTTTGCGCAAATAGGTTACGAGGATGATATCGATGACGACGATGGTGTCTTCCCTCTTCCTCCTCCCAATCCACCCTCCTCTTCCATCCTCCCACCCATCCTCCATCCTCCTCGTCCATCTTCCGGCAGAATCCTGGGAGGACGACCGCCTGTGTGGGGTGCGACCTTGCCCCAATAACCTCGTGTGCCAGTCGGGCTGGATCGGCCCCAACTTCGGCATCACCAAGTTCGACAACATCCTCTTCGCGATCCTCACCGTCTTCCAGTGCATCACCATGGAGGGGTGGACAGACCTCCTCTACTATGTGAGCGGAACGCCGCTGCTCGATTGACAACTCATTTCCTTAGGACTGTGTTTAGATTGTTGTCCTTCCCCCACCCCGTGCCTCCGATTAGCACGGTCGGCTACGTCCGGTGCTGCGAGAAACGTTCATCGTGCGTACGTACGACCAGCCCTGTGTGCACCACACTGCCTTGCTGATCTCGGCCCGGAGCATCGATTATAATCTTGAGTGTCTCACCCCTCACATCGGTGCCTCTGGTTAACCGTCAGACAGAGACGACAGTCACGGGCGCTTTCAGTCGCGCCGCTTCTGCGGCCGTCTGGAAAGCTCTTTCCTTCCCGATATTTGGAAGGCCATGGGAGCTGTGATGCACTTTTAGACCGTCATCATCATCTATATTGAAGACTAATTTATTCGTAACTGCTTTTTGTGTTTAGTTTGTTGTCCTTCCCCCGCACCTCTGAGCAGCACGGTTCGCTACGTACCGTGGTACGAAAAGAGGTTCAACATAGTACATACAAAGGTCCCCCCGTGTAGCTGACACGGGGATCATCGGGGCAAGTGCCGGGTATCGAGCGTCGCCCGCCGGCACGACCAAGCGCCTTTGTCTCCCCGGTGCCGACGCTTGTTTCTACGCAGCGCGGACGCGCCGGCCACCCGTCTAAGGGGGGGGGAGGCCTCTGACGTTTGGCTGCGAGCGGCTTCTCGGACTCGAACTCTGCTGGGCTCACGAGCGTGGCGTAGCGCTAACAACCGCTGGGCGCACAAAGACAAACATCCCCCCGTGTAGCCTTCACTGACTGTTGGGGCAAGGTGCTGTTAGCGAGTTGCACTGACAAAGCCTGGGCGTCACACGAGGGGGTGGGTGGCCAGCACCACGCCCGGCCGCCTTTGTAGCCCCAGTGGCGACGTTTACTGCACACCGCACCGGGTACTCATTTGAGGCTCAGTCGACCTAAGGGAGGCCCAGGACCGGTTCAAAATATAGTCGTCACCAATGTTGGCCATGAGCGGGAATCGAACTCGGGTCGCCCGGTTCGTAGCGCAGCGTAGCGCTAACCGCGACACCACCGCTCCCCGCAAACACGTGCGCGTACACATGCACGTACACGCACGTGTACGTACACACGCGTGTACGCGCATGTGTACGCGCATGTGTACGCGCACCGCGTGACGCTGCTGAGGCCCCGCACTCGTTGCAAATGAAGTGCTCTGGATTTGTTCTGCGTTACCCCTGCCTGCAGATCGATGGGCTCATCTGCGTTCATTCAGAGGGGGCCGCGCTCGGCACGATCGATCCCTCTGACGTCACTGATAATCAGTGGGATGTGTCTGATCAGGGGGGAGGGGTCTGATTAGTGGGGAGGGGTCTGATTAGTGGGGGAGGGGTCTGATTAGTGGGGAGGGGTCTGATTAGTGGGAGGGGGTGTGATTAGTGGGGAGGGGTGGTGATTAGTGGTGAGGGGTCTGATGAGTGGAGGGGGGTCTGATTAGTGGGGAGGGGTCTGATTAGTGGGGAGGGGTCTGATTAGTGGGGAGGGGTCTGATGAGTGGAGGGGTCTGATTAGTGGGGAGGGGTGTGATTAGTGGGGAGGGGTCTGATGAGTGGGAGGGGTCTGATTAGTGGGGAGGGGTGTGATTATTGGGGAGGGGTCTGATTAGTGGAGAGGGGTCTGATTAGTGGGGAGGGGTCTGATGAGTGGGAGGGGTCTGATTAGTGGGGAGGGGTCTGATTAGTGGAGAGGGGGTCTGATTAGTGGGGAGGGGTGTGATTAGTGGGGGAGGGGTCTGATTAGTGGAGAGGGGTCTGATTAGTGGAGAGGGGTCTGATCAGGGGGGAGGGGTCTGATTAGTGGGGAGGGGGTGTGATTAGTGGGGAGGGGTCTGATTAGATGGGGAGGGGTCTGATCAGGGGGAGAAATTCTAAATTTGTAACGTTGGCGATCCCTTTAAAGTCCACACGTGCCTAATTTAATAATTATTCATTAGAATTTGTATGTATTTTTATTTTATTGGGGTTTAAATAGCGCCCAGTTCCATGCCGTTGCTGCGCCTGATATGATTCAGAGTGGAGCAGAAACAAGTCAGCGGTGATTGATGATCCGACGCTCCACTCAGCCCCTCGCTTATCAATCACCCCGTGATTGCTCCTCTGATCGCTCCTCTATCGCTAGTACTGCCACTGTGGGTCACCCTTTCTCTGTGAATTTCACTCACGGGTTCGCTCGCTGACAGACGGGCAGCGTGCGGGCGCGTCGCACGGCAGCGTGCGGGCGCGTCGCACAACAGCGGCGGTATTAACCAGGGCGGCGGCTGGATTGGAACGGCGAACCTAGGCCATGTGCACCATTGGGGGAGCAGGCTGAGACACTCAAGCATCAACTCCGTGTCTATTCAAAGTTCAAGTTGATGGTATGTTGTACTGTGTTGTACGTACGTTGTACAACGTTTAACTTATTTTGCACCGTACGTAGCCAACCGTGCTGACCGGAGGTGTTCACCAGAAGTAAGAACTCAGGAGGCCAGAATGAGTCTCGTTCGCAAGAGTGTGTGAATGAGTGTGTGAATGAGTGAGTGAATGAGTGAGTGATGAGTGAGTGAATGAGTGTGTGAATGAGTGTGTGACTGAGTGTGTAGGTGGTGAGTGAGTGGGTGACTGCATGTGAATGATGGGTGAGTGAGACGGTGGGTGATAGCACAGTGGGGGGGGCAAAGCTGCTGGTGGCTTCTGCCAGCCATCTCAATTGGTCAACCCATGGCACCTGGGTCTGTCCCGTAACCTCTTGCCAGTGGGCCTTGACACTTCACGTGGGGCGCAAAGTGCACTTAGCCTGGCACAAGCGCCGTGGTGACGTCGCCACCACTTAGTGGTGAACGGCGGTCGTCACTGGGGGCGCGCTGCGCTTCGAACCCAACGACCCGAGTTCGATTCCCACCCACTGTCACCAATAGCGGTGAGTCGACCTGGGCCTCCCCTAGGTCGACTCAGCCTCAAATGAGTACCTGGTGCGGTGTGTAGGAAACATCGCCACTGGGGAGACAAAGGCGGCCGGGCGTGGTTCTGGCCACCCACCCCCTCGTGTGCCGTGCCGGCCTTCATAGGTGCTACTCGCTAACAGCACTTGCCCCAACAGTCTGTTTAGAGTATACGGGGGATCTTTGTCTTTGTGTGTGCGTGCAGACTAACGACGTGTACGGGAGCAGGTGGAACTGGCTCTACTTCGTTCCCCTCATCATCATCGGCTCCTTCTTCATGCTCAACCTCGTGCTGGGAGTTCTGTCTGGGTGCGCTCCCCCCCCCCCCCTTGGTCCTTCTCTTGGCGAGTCTCAAGACTCGTCTCTCTGTCAGTCCGCCGCCCATCGTTCCACGTGTCCACATATCCCTCAAAGCTTAACAACCATCTCTACGTGCGTCTCTCGTACCTCCAGCACCTCCTATGAGCACAGTTGGCTACATCCGGTGTTAAAGAAGTTCATTGTACACGCACACATACTGCACACACTAACACTACCCATAGACTATACTCTTTGGTTATTTCGGTAAAGTCACATGGGTTTTAAAATAAAATAAGAAATAAAATATCATGACGTTCGATCGCAACATAAGCGGTCGTCCTCAGGCTGAAAAATAATCCAGCAGTCGTACTGCCGAACCAGGAAGAACACAGCGAGAGAGCCGCTACAACAATAACAAGAGGTGTTACAACAACAAGAGGTGTTATATACAACAAGAGGTGTTACAACAACAAGAGGTGTTATATACAACAAGAGGTGTTATATACAACAACAAGAGGTGTTATATACAACAACAAGAGGTGTTATATACAACAACAAGAGGTGTTATACAACAACAAGAGGTGTTATATACAACAACAAGAGGTGTTACAACTACAGCACGAGCCGTTACAACAACAAGAGGCGTTATATACGTGGTGAAGGGCAAGCAGGCGTGGTCTGAGCTGGAAAGGAATCCATCCCCGCACGCAAGCACGTCAGTTGTGTTAATGGTGGAGATTAGGGAGAGTCTACACTGCTTATAGACTAACACTATCCATAGACTCAACACTGACTGCCCATAGACTCAACACTGCCCCGTAGACTCAACACTGCCCGTAGACTCAACAATACCCATAGACTCAACACTGCCCATAGACTCAACACTGCCCACTTCATCCACCCACCCACCCATCAGCACGTGTCTAACCATGACCCCACGTGTCTGCGCCTACATGCCTCCGTGACCCTGTGTGTGTGTGTGTGTCTGGGACCCCCCGCCTCACTCCCAGCGGACGCAGGGAGTTTGCCAAGGAGCGTGAGCGTGTGGAGAACCGCCGCGCCTTTCTCAAGCTGCGTCGGCAGCAGCAGATCGAGCGCGAGCTCAACGGGTACATGGAGTGGATCTGCAAGGCCGGTGCGACACACCACCACTACCGCCACCAGCACCACCACCGCGACCACCACCATCACAACCACCACGACCGACACCAGCATCACCACCGCCAGCACCACTGGCCGCCACCACTGCCGCCAACCGCCGCCAGCATCACCACCGCAACCGCCACCGCCACCACCGCCACCAGCACAACCACTACCACCACCGCCGCCACCGCCGCCACCACCGCCAGTACCACCACCGCAACCATCCACCACCGCCACCTGCACCGCTTCCACCACCACCGCCACCTGCACGCCGTAGCACACCACCACCGCGACAACCACCACACACACACCACAACCCTCAGCACACCACCACCACACGCGTGGCACACAGCAACGCTCGGCACAACACCACGCGCTTGTATCTGTGCACGAGTGTCTAGACGTGTCTGCGTGTGTGTGTTTACGTGTGTATGTCTGCGTGTGTTCACGCGCCCGTGTGCCTGTGTCCCTCTCTCTGTGTTTGCCTGTGTAGCTACGTGTGTGTATGTGTAGCTACGTGTGTGAGTGTGTAGCTACGTGTGTGAGTGTGTAGCTACGTATGTGAGTGTGTAGCTACGTGTGTGTGTGTGAGTGTAACTACGTGTGTGTGTGAGTGTAGCTACGTGTGGGGAGCGGTAGTGTAGCGGTTAACACGCTGCGCTATGAACCCGGCGGCACGGGTTCGATTCCCGCTCACGGCTAACACCAGTGACGATTATCTGAACCGGCCTCCCCTAGGTCTATTCAGCCTAAAATGAGTACCTTGTGCGGTGTGTAAAACATCGCCACTGAGGAGACAAAGGCGGTCAAGCGTGGTGCTGGCCACCCACCTCCTCGTGTACCGTTCCGGCCTTCATAGATGCTAGCTAACAGCACTAGCTCCATCAGTCTGTTCTTTGTCTCTGTGGGGTGCAAGTGGTGTCTCGCTCCCCACCCGCGTAATATTTCATTACGGCAGGTGTGCCAGCCAGGTGTGCTCATAAAGACGCGCTCCACTATAATAGTGCAAAGACACCCCGTTCCGAAGCGCGTGTGTGTGCGTGCTCGTGTGTGTGTGTGCGTGCGTGTGCGTGTATGTACGGAACACAGCAGCAGCGTCTTCATCATCAGTGTCACAGGGGGGAGGTGGAGTAACTCCGCGCACAGCTGGAGGGGTAATTTATTATTTGTAAGGGGGGGGGGGGTAGAACACAAAAACTGAAATGAAAATGCGGGCGACATTAATATTTAATGTGCCGCTAAACGGGCCCGGAGATGAGCGGCGTTGAGTTTTTTGACACGCGCCCCCCCTGGGGAGTGGAAGGGGGGGGGGTGTTATGCACTACAGGGGAATCCTCTACTTAAGAACATTCGACTTACGAACTTTCAGAGATACGAACAAACCTGTCCCGTTTGTCCAGTTGCCTGTTCGGTCCCAAGAGTCGTATGTTAAACTGCCCCGTGCAAGAGATGGCGGTGGTGCAATCTACAGTGAGGGAAACAAGTGTTTGATCCCCTGCTGATTTTCTACGTTTGCCCACTGACAAAGAAATGGTCAGATCTATAATTTTAATGTAGGTTTATTTGAACAGTGAGAGACAGAATAACAACAACAAAATCCAGAAAAACGCATGTCAAAAATGTATAAATTGATTTGCATTTTAATGAGGGAAATACGTATTTGACCCCTCTACAAAAAATGACTTAATACTTGGTGGCAAACCCCTTGGTGGCAATCACAGAGGTCAGACGTTTATTGTATTTGGCCACCAGGTTTGCACACATCTTAAGAGGTATTTTGTCCCACTCCTCTTTGCAGATCTTCTCCAAGTCATTAAGGTTTCGAGGCTGACGTTTGGCAACTCAAACCTTCAGCTCCCTCCACAGATTTCTATGGGATTAAGGTCTGGAGACTGGCTAGGCCACTCCAGGACCTTAATGTGCTTCTTCTTGAGCCACTCCTTTGTTGCCTTGGCCGTGTGTTTTGAGTAATGGTCATGCTGGAATACCCATCCATGACCCATTTTCAATTCCCTGGCTGAGGGAAGGAGGTTCTCACCCAAGATTTGACGGTACATGGCCCCATCCATCGTCCCTTTGATGCGGTGAAGTTGTCCTGTCCCCTTAGCAGAAAAACACCCCCAAAGCATAATGTTTCCACCTCCATGTTTGACGGTGGGGATGGTGTTCTTGGGGTCATAGGCAGCATTCCTCCTCCTCCTCCAAACACGGCGAGTTGAGTTGATGCCAAAGAGCTCCATTTTGGTCTCATCTGACCACAACACTTTCACCCAGTTGTCCCTCTGAATCATTCAGATGTTCATTGGCAAACTTCAGACGGGCATGTATATGTGCTTTCTTAGAGCAGGGGGACCTTGCGGGGCGCTGCAGGGTTTCAGTCCTTCACGGCGTAGTGTGTTACCAATTGTTTTTTTTGGTGACTATGGTCCCAGCTGCCTTGAGATCATTGACAAGATCCTCCCGTATAGTTCTGGGTTGATTCCTCACCGTTCTCATGATCATTGCAACTCCACGAGGTGAGATCTGCATGGAGCCCCAGGCCGAGGGAGATTGACAGTTCTTTTGTGTTTCTTCCATTGCGAATAATCGCACCAACTGTTGTCACCTTCTCACCAAGCTGCTTGGCAATGGTCTTGTAGCCCATTCCAGCCTTGTGTAGGTCTACATCTTGTCCCTGACATCCTTGGAGAGCTCTTTGGTCTTGGCCATGGTGGAGAGTTTGGAATTTGATTGATTGATTGCTTCTGTGGACGGGTGTCTTTATACAGGTAAGCTGAGATTCGGAGCACTCCTTTTAAGAGTGTGCTCCTAATCTCAGCTCGTTACCTGCATAAAAGGCACCTGGGAGCCAGAAATCTTTCTGATTGGGATGGGGTCAAATACTTATTTCCCTCATTAAAATGCAAATCAATTTATAACATTTTGGACATGCGTTTTTCTGGATTTTTTTAATTGTTATTCTGTCTCTCACTGTTCAAATAAACCTATCATTACAAGTATAGACTGATCATTTCTTTGTCAGTGGGCAAACGTACAAAATCAGCAGGGGATCAAATTATTTTTTCCCTCACTGTACATCTGCAGAACGTGAAGTACCAGTGGCATCTACATCTGCAGAACGTGAAGAACCAGTGCCATCTACATCTGCAGAACGTGAAGAATCAGTGGCATCTACATCTATAGAACGCGAAAAACCAGTGGCATCTACATCTGCAGAACGTAAAGAATCAGTGGCATCTACATCTATAGAACGTGAAGAATCAGTGGCATCTACATCTGCAGAACGTGAAGAATCAGTGGAATCTACATCTATAGAGCGTGAAGAACAAGTGGCATCTACATCTGTAGAACGTGAAGAACCATTAGCATCGACAGCTACAGGAGATTATACAACTTTTAAAGCCATTTCTCGTGTTTAATGTGCACACCATACAACACATTTGAAATCGACAAGGGTAAAGTTGGACTTACTAACAACTCGACCCACAACTCATTCGTCTGTGTCCATGTGTATATGTGTGTGTATGTGTGTGTTTTTGGCCTTTGTGTATGTGTACGTGTGTGGGGAGCGGTAGTGTAGCGATTAGCGCGCTGCGCTATGAACCTAGCAACACGGGTTCGATTCCCGCTCACGGCCAACACCAGTGACGATTATCTGAACCGGTCCTGGGCTTCTCCTAGGTCGACTCAGCCTCAAATGAGTACCTAGTGCAGTGTGTAAACATCGCCACTGGGGAGACTAAGGCGGTCGGGCGTGGTGCTGGCCACCCACCCCCTCGTGTACCATTCTGGCCTTCATAGGTGCTCCCTAACAGCACTTGCCCCAACAGTCTGTTAAGGCTACACGGGGAATCTTTGCTTTTGTGTGTGTGTATGCTGGACTTCTTTCGCACGGTACATAGCCAACCGTGCTAATCGGAGCTGCGCTGGGGGGGGGGGGGGCGGACAACGAGTCACTAAAAGCAGCAGCAACAACAACAACAAGCAGTTCCAAAAGAGAAGAGTTTTCAATGACCGTGCATTCCACCGTGGCGTGTCCCCGCCCCCTCGTGTCGTCTCTCGTGTCCAGAAGAGGTGATGCTTGCGGAAGAGGACAGGAACGCGGAGGAGAAGTCTGCCTTCGACGGTAAGGGCGCCCCCCCTACCAGCAATCGGTGGCAAAAGCCGCCACGGTCAGCTCCACCGGGCGAGGCGGCTGGTGTCGTTAGCGAGCACCTATTAAGGCAACAGCGCTGAATCAGTGTCTTATTGGCGTTTGAACATTGCCTTTCTGGCAATGTTCAAACGCCAAATAGACACCGTTTGCAAGGCATCATCAGGTCTGCATTAACGACACGTCCTTGTGGCAAAACATGCAAACAGCCATGGCGTTAATAATAATAATAATGTACACATCGTCTTTGAAACTGTGATTGGGCCTACACTAGAGTCAGCCTCCTTCATGGCCTCGTCTTACCACCATCTCGCCGCGGTGGCTAGGAGATGTTAACTCCCTCGCCTGGTATGCAGGAGGTCGTGGGTTCGATCCCGAGCCTGATGCTTGCTGTATATTTTTCGATTTAAAGCTTTCGTGACTGCAAGGATTCATCTTCTTTGGTTCTTACGTGACTTTTCCGAAAGAACCAAAGAAGAAGCCTGCTGTATATTTGGAGTTTGCGTGTCTCTGTCTCTCCCTGTGGTCACGTGGATTTTTTTCCGGGTCCTCCGGATTTTTTCCTCCCCATTTAGAATCAACGTTGCGTTCAGAGTGTTTTGCTGCTATAAATTTACACGTGATGATGATGATGATAAGCCACTTTGTTGAGCTATCGTTACACTTCTGAAAAAAGAGCTGCGTAGCTCAGTGGGGCCTTCTCTGATCAAATAAAAATAGCAATAGAATAATAATAGAATCGCAACCGCTGTGATAATAATGATTATTAACTAGGGCGGCCAATGTAATGGCAACCACAAACCCCCGAGCAGCCGCGTCACCGCAGTCCATCGATCACCCCCCCCGCCCCCCCGACCCCCCCATGCACGCGCGTGCCTCCAACAATTGATTGCGACCTCCAATCAAAACGCTTTGCCCTGCTCCATAATCCCTGGGATAGTTCGCGTAGGATCACGGACGCACGCACGACAGCGCACACACAGACAAAAGATCCCCCGTATAGCCCATACAGACTGTTGGGACAAGTGCTGTCGGCGAGTAGCACCTACGAAGTCCGACACGGCACACGAGGGGGTGGGCGGCCAGCACCACGCTGGCTGCCTTTGTCTCCTCAGTGATGCTGATATTTTGCTTCCACATCGCACCAAATACTTATTTAAGGCCAAGTCGATCTAGGGGAGACGCTCGGTTGGGATTCTCCGGTTACCTCCCACGTGATGCTGCGGCAATGGGATTGGCCACACGTCCCAGTATTAGCAGCACTGCCTTCCCGACGCAGCCAATTAGTAAGGTTTGTCACGTAAACAAAACGTGTGAATTCGTTACTAGTATGGCACAATGGTGTGTTAGAGATTAAACCCACAACAAACCTCTTTTATGGACAATGTTGGTCGCGAGAGCCCCACGTGTTTAAACTTTTATCAATGCAATCACCACGAAACAAATGATTGTCACATGCAATATATAAATATATTCCTCCCGCACATAATCCATCTCTCCTCCACAACAAAGAACAAACCCATCGCCATGCTCATTTCTGACGATGGCGGACACATGCCGCGCCTCGTCAGGCACATACGGGAGGTGCCACGATGGTTTGCGAGCGCCTATTAAGGGACTGCCCATCCCACAACGGGTACACGTGTGAGTATGTACACACACGTGTGTGTGCATACTCGCACGTACGTACGTATGTACACACGTGTGTACGTACTCACGCCCAACAGCCGTGGACACACACACACAAAACGCAGCCAGAGATCCCCCCCTCCCCTCGTGTAGCCTGCACAGGCTCTTCGGGCAAGTGCTGGTTCGCAAGCAACCTCTATGTAGCGTGCCTAATGAGAGGGGGTGGTGTGGCCAATCACCACACTCGGCCGCCTTTGTCTTCCCCCCCACCCCTCGAGGTATAGACTTCAGGCTGAGTTGACGTACGGACCGAGTAGGGCTGTGCAGCGCGCTACAGTTGCTGTCATCGCTCTACGAGGTGCTGTTGGGTAATTCTCCACTCCTGTTGTCCACGGATATGAATTTGCAGCAGTGGGCAGAGGTCAAAGACACAGCCCTGCAATCTCTTTGCTCACACCACCGCTGGGCGCAAGGGCCCCCCTCCGGTAGAGGAAGCCCTACAGAGAGAATCCCTCTCCGAGTGGTATTTGGTCTACTCTTCCACGCTGAGTCCTACGTCTCTGGAAGGGGTGGAAGTGACTCCCGCCACGCCGGTAGAAGGTGCGGTGGGTGCAGTGCCGGATTATCGTAGGATCACAAGTAGCTACAAGTGTAGCTACGGGCCCCGCGCTTTCAAGGGCCCCGCGCTAAATGCTTTCAAGCAATCAATTCCGGTTCAGTGATTTGCACTTGCTCTATTACAATAGTACTATACTGCCTTCACCTTTTACAAACGACTGGGTGTTTAAGGTTAACGATTTGTCGTATTATCTGGCTGAATAGCGAATGAAGAAATCCAATTACTTTACTATGGAAGTAAAAAATTGTGCTTTAATATGGACGTGTTTTTTTAAGGGCCCCTTCATAACAACATGTGCTACAGGCCCCGCACTCGCTTAATCCAGCACTGGGTGGGTGGAGTGGGGCATTGGACCGTCGGGGGTGAGAGGGAGTGGGGGGACGGGGCAGTCTGGAAATATGAAGCTTCTAAACGTGGGCACCTTACATTCAGAAGAAAATAAAAACATAAATTATTTTCTATCCAAATTTCGATTTAAAGCTTTCGTGACTGCAATGATTCATCTTCTTTGGTTCTTTCGGTAAAGTCACGTAGACTGAGAATAAATAATAAATTGATAAAATAAAATAACACAATAATATTCTCACGACGTTTCGGCCACAACACAAGCGGCCTTCATCAGGTGAAGGGGCGAGACTGTCTGGTAGGACAGCGCTGGAGTGTCCTACCAGACAGTCTCGCCCCTTCACCTGATGAAGGCCGCTTGTGTTGTGGCCGAAACGTCGTGAGAATATTATTGTGTTATTTTATTTTATCAATTTATTATTTTATTCTCATTCTACGTGACTTTACCGAAAGAACCAAAGAAGATATTTTCTATCCATAATAGAGGTTTTTTTGGGTTAGATCGCGTAAATATAAATGTATCGTTAAACCCGCCACCACCACTCGACACGGTCAATTAGTAAGGTTTGTCACGTAAACAAAACGTGCCGATTCGTTATTAGTCTAGCACTAACCAGTTGTTTGTTGGAGAGTGAACCCACTACAGCATTACAATTCCGGTACTCGAATTGTAAATGTTGTAGTGGGTTTATACACCGGTTGCCTGTTGGACAGTGAACCGACTACTACGTTTACAATTCGAGTACCTGGCAATGTTTCGACGGTAATTACAACTAGCATCATCAGGCGGACCGCCAGAGTTGCGGAGAAATCCTCCTCCTGTTCCGATCTTAAATACTTTCTTTGTTAAATGTTAATTATCAAGGCAATAGCTCTTGTTGTTATTATTTATCATAATTATCCCGAGTCCGCAATGATCCTAGAGGTCTGTGTCACAATGGGGGCAGAAGCACCCCTGCCGAGCCGTGGCGCTGCCGCGAGGCGCCCGCACGGCGTCACGTGACGGATTTGTGACATCACACGGTGGCCGCTCAGCCAATGAGAGCGTTCGTCGAGTAGACCCAGAGTTCGCGACGACGATCTCCTGCGCCTCCTCCTCCACCTCCCTCCTCCACCTACCTCCTTCTCCACCTCCTCCAACTCCGCCTCCTCCACCTCCACCTACCTCCTTCTCCACCTCCTCCACCTCCTCTTCCCGATTGGTTGTATTTTGATGGCGCCCACCCAACCCGCTGGGCAAGGCGGCTCCTCAGCGGACCGCCGCTCGCTGCCGCTGCGACGATGCGCTCCAGGCTACTGCTGCTGCTAACGGCAAGCGAAGTCGTTCGATAGGGAAAGCGCTGCGGCGCACTGTGCCCATTGCACGAATCCAGGGCAATCTTCAGGGGGTGCAGGGGCAATCGCCCCCCTCCCATCACCCCCCTCCCCTCTCATCCCCGCCCTTCCCGGGTTTGTACCTTTGCTTGCGATGATGGCATGAGCTGTGCATCGGTGGGGCGGAGGAGGGGGTCTCCGTGCATGTGCACGTCCGCATGCGCGGGTGTTGGCGAGCGCGCGTGTTCGCGAGGGCGTGTGTACAAGTACGTGGGGGGAGCGGCGGTGCAGCGGTTAGCGCACTGCGCTACGAACCGGGCGACCCCCCCCCCCGAGTTGGATTCCTGAACCGCGGCCAACGCAGGTGACATATCTAGCACGGTCCTGGGCCTCCCCTAGGTCGACTCAGCTTTAATCAAGTACCTGAGCGTAAGTGCGTAAAGATCCTCATTGGAGAGGCGAAGGCGGTCGTGCGTGGTGCCGGCCACCCACCCCCTCGTGTGCCACAGTGCCGGCCTTCACAGGCGCTGCTCGCCAACAGCTCTTACCCCAACAGCCTTATAAAGGCTATACGGGGGATCTTTGTCTTTGTGTTGCCGCGGTCTGTGCCAGAGTCAACTCATAATGCTATCACCTCTTCCGTGGTTCGACAACAGTGCATACACAATGTGGCACGCAGAAGCATCTGTCCATGACAGAGCTCTTAGCAACCTCCTCTTCCATTGACGAGGCGATCACTCTCGGGCCCCATCGTTTGTGGTGCAAGATGACGATGGCGATGACGATAGAGACACCCCCCGCCAGCTCACGATGATGGCGGTGGTCACGGTGATTACGATTCATGGTAAAGGGGCAAGTGGTGCAGCTATCGAGTGTGCAGTCGGTGCAGCTGCACCGGTGCTGGGCTAACGAGGAGTTTGCAGAGTCGGCGGAGGGGGCAGGCATTTTATATAAAGCACCAGGACCCATGACAACCACAACATTACGCCTGCAGTTGGTTCCGTCAGTGGATGTACCACTCTTTATTTAACCCGCGAGATTAAATATCAATCAGAAGATTGTATTTATATTCCACATTCCTATGGCGAGGGAGGGCGAGTCTTATCAGTAAGGATAACCACCATTGACTTCCGCCACAAAGTGGTGCTGAAGTTATCGACCCATCCGACCCCCGGAGGAATGATGATGGGGGCCGAGTCAACTCCCCCACAAATCGGGATTTGACCTCATGACCTTCCGCTCGCAAGCCGCTCGCTCTCACGTGGAACAGCGAACGTCCATGCACAACACAAATATACACACAACACAAATAGACAGAACACAAATAGACACACAACACAAATATACACAAAACACGCACTCATTAACAAGAGTGATTTACGATGACGACAATGATGGTGACAGCGGTGACGTTGATGGTGACGCTAATGGTGACGATGACGCGGATGGTGATGACGATGATGACGCGGATGGTGACGATGATGACGCTGATGGTGACGATGATGACGATGATGATGCTGATGGTGACGAAGATTATGGTGATGGTGACGATGATGGCACTGATGGTGATTACAGTGATGGTGATAATGAAGACGCTGATAACGATGACGCTGATGGTGATGATGATGATGATGACGCTGATGGTGACGATGATGACGCTGGTGACAATGATGATGCTGATGGTGACGCTGATGGTGACGATAATGATGGTGATGATAACGATGATGACACTCATGGTGATTACGGTGATGGTGATAATGAAGATGCTGATAATGATGACGCTGATGGTGACGATGATGACGCTGAGGGTGACGATGCTAATAGCGATGACGATGGCAACGACGACAATAACGATGACGATAACGAGCCCGGCGCCGGGATCTCTCCACAGTCCTGAGGAGGGCCACGCTACGGAAAAGCCGGAATGATTTAATCCACGCAGAGGAAGGTGGCCTGGCCGCAGAGAAGCAGCAGCAGCAGACGCCCAGTGTCGTGGAACCTGGTCAGACGCACTCCTCGTGCTCGTTTGTGCGTCCGTGTGTGTGCAGGGCCGGATTAACATTCAGGGGTGGGGTTGGTTATAGATTGGGGAGGTGCCGCGTTGGTTATAGTTGCCCCCACCGTGTGGTGTATATTCGACTCCCTCCCTCTCTAACCGGTTCATCACGGCACGCCCGTGCCCGGTGCCAAACTCTCGTCATCTCTCCCCGAGTTAACGTCCACGGTGGGTTCGCCCGCTGCTCGCGTGTTCGTCCCCTGTTGGTCACGGTCCATGTGGGGCCCTCCGGCGGCATCCGCTTGCTCTCTCCCGTAGAAAGAGGCACTGGGAGGGGGAACCACGGACGAGCGTGAGGACAGGGGTACCAATAATTCCCCAAGCTCTGGGGGTCCTGCGTATTTTAAGGTAGTGTCGGCCAATTGACGAGTGTCCATATATGTGTTGGAGGAGACCCGCTTAACCGTAAGGAGAAGGGAAAAAAAACCCCGCGCGTGCGAGGGGGAAATGCTCGATCCCGTACCGACGGATCGAGGTGGAGTCCACATTTTTACTGAACCAAGGGGGTTTGGCTCCTCCTCGACGCCCACCCACGGAGATGGGAGTGAGGGAGTTTCACAGCATCATTGTGTGATCCACCAACCCTTGCTGCAGCCCCCCCCCCCCCAGTGCTGGATGACTGGCGTGTGCCACTCGTGTATTTATATATTTATTTATTTATTTTAGCCATTTACTTTTTTATAGAGGGACAGAAACCATAAAAAATCCAGAGGCCCTCTGGCCTGGCCAGAGACCCTGATAGCCCCCTATGTTAATCCGGCCCTGCGTGCTTTGTGTTACCGTGCTGTCGGTGTCGTGATGCCGTTTGTGTCACTCTGTGCACCACTTTGTGCGTCACTCTGCATGCGCTTTCTCTGTCGCATGTGGGTGGAGGTCCGGGTTTTGCCGTGGTGTTATCATTTCTCGCGATGCGACGATTACCGGCGATGTCAGTTTCTCGCGAACAGTTGTAATCACCTTTCACAATTGGCGGTACTTCCAGACTAAGTTAAAGATTACTTAACTGTTCACGACACACTAACACACACTAGCGCTAACACACGCGACCAACAACAATAACCACAATTTGCCGCTGAGTGGCGTTCATGTGTCCACGTGAAGTGTCGAATGCTCGCTGACGGAAGGTCATGGCACAGAACCAGGTGCCACGGGTTGACTGACTGAGATAATTGACAGATGCACACCAGCTATGCTTGCCTGTGCTCTGCTCGTTGTTGTGAGCATCGCTCCTCTGCCCTCCATTGTTGCTGGAGGGCGACTGCCTCCAACTCGCCAGGAGCGATGTCAAGATCGGCATCCACAAAGGCCGATCTTGACACTGCTGGTACCGGTCCACTCAGCTCCGCGTCCTCTTGTACCGCATCAGCCCCATCTCTAGCCCGTGCTTCGCTCGGTTAACTTGTAACTTGCTGGCTACCATAGTACCAGCCGTGCTATGCAGCCCCTGTAATTATTCGCTTACCATGTGAATTGGTGGCTACCGTCGCATCAGAAGATGGGCCCTAAATGACAAAAGAGCTTCTTAGCCCAGTGGGCCGTACCCGGAATAAAGCAACTTGACGGACTGACTGCAGATGAGACGCTCCGGAGAGGAGGGAGATGCACAACAGGCCCCATGCCAGGCATTGCCGCCTGTCATAGCCCCCCCCGCCAACCCCCTTCCCCCCCCCCCCCCCACCCTCCTACCCCTCATCCCCCCACCTTCCCAACCCCCCACCCCCATGGCCGCGCTCCCCAAATTGAAGCGGTGTCACCCCACGGTTTGCGACTGGATTAGCCGAGCGTCGTCGATTCTCCGCCGCCAGATATCGATCGCTCCCATTTCGCACGTGAATCACCCCCCACCCCCCCGGCCCCCCAGCCCCCGCGTCTGCGCCTGTTCGAGTCGCCCAGCACGTCCACCGCTGGCTGCTCAACAGTAGCAGAGAGCTCTGGGGGTTCCCTGTGAATGGCAGTCGGGAAGAAGCAAAAATATTTCGTCTGTCTGTTCGAGGTTTGCCGTCACACGGGACGCTCAATGTAGCTTTCGCGGTCAAGGGCTGCCACCACGCTACGTAGCCGGCAGGCCCGGGTTCGATTCCCGCCCGTGACCGCGACAGCGGTGGCGAAGATTGAAATTGGTCCCGCACTTTCCGGTAGGTCGACTCGGCCCTTAATTGAGGGACCCCGGTGCGGTGTGTTAAACATCGGCACCGGGGAGACAAAGGCGCCCGGGCGTGGTGTTGGCCACCCACCCCCTCGTGTGCCACGGTGCCGGCCTTCATCGGCGATGCCGGCACTAGGGGTGTGGCGAATCGGGGCGACCACCCCACACCCCGCGCTTTAGGGGTGGTTGGCCCCAGAATGCGTTGATGGGCAGATGTGCAGTCTGCCTATCACTGCATTCTGGTCCTCACGAGAGCAAACCATGCAACATTTTATCGTTTTACTTTTAATATAAACGTCTCTGTGTAAGTACATGGAGCTATGTTTATGGGTCTCTATGCCAGTCTCTTGGTCTCTATGTGAGTATATGGGTCTCTGTGAGTCTATGGGTATCTATGTGAATGAGTCTATCGTTCTCGATGTGAGTCTATTGATCTCTGTGTGGGTCACTGGTGACCGGGTTGAGACCATCAATTTACCGCACTCGAGAAACCCGGTTTAACCACAGGCAGCGACTGTAACCCGGATTGGAACCCATGTGCTCTCAGCGGTGTAGGCTCAGCATCTGTGATCACTCAACCATCTGGTGCCTCTTTTTAAACAAAAACAACAACAACAACAACAACAACAAGAACTCTACCCGAGGAGGTCGAAAACAAGCGGCCTGAATCGCAGCTTTGATGTAAAACGGATAATGACGGTACAGGGATCGGTGATCTTACAATGGGTTATAGGTGCAGGCGTGTCAGTTCTGGCTCACAACCACCCCTGGTAGGATACAAGTCCCACGATATCTCGAGGGAGATATATCTAGAGGGAGATATCGTGGCGCTTGTATCGTATGGGTTATTGTGAATCTTGTATCGTATGAGATATCGTGGGTGTTATATTGTACAATATATTGTGGGTCTTATATCGTACTTGGATCTTATATCGTATGAGATATAATGGGGATTTGTATTGTGCAAAATATCGTGGGTTTTATATCGTATGAGATATCGTGGTTGATGCGTTATCGCAGCAAAACCGTGGCTTACAACATCCCTCCTCAACTGCACCTTCACGCTCCCTTGATCGCTTCCTTTCTCTCCTTCCCTTGGGTAAGTGGGGGAGTGAGCGAGTGATTGGGCCATTGGGTGGGTGGGTGGGTGGTGGTTGAGTGGGTTAATGAGTGAATAGGTGAGCGGGTTGGTAGATGAGTGAGTCGGGTGAATAAATGAATGAGTAGGCGGGCGAATGAATGGCATGGATAAGTGGGTGAGTCAGTGGATAAGTGAGTCGGTGGGGAGGTGAGTGAGTAGGTAGGTGGTTGGGTGAGTAAGTAGGTGGGTGAGTGAATGAGTAGGTTGGTGGGTGCGTGAGTTAGTAGGTTGGTGGGTGGATGACTGAGTAAGTGGGTTGGTGAGTAGGCGGGTGGGGGCATAAGCGAATGAGTGGGCGATCGAGTGAGTAAGTGAGCAGCCTGGCTGAGTAGGTTAGCAAGCGGGCGGACATCTGAGTGAGGTCAAAGTGAACTCGTAGCTCTACAGACGCATTGCAAATCCAACCACCATCGTCAGCCACCATCGCCACCCCCCTCCTCCTCCTCCTCCTCCTCGTCATCGTCGTCGTACACGTGACCTCCCTGCACGTTGCCCGTCCACCCAGGCTCCCCGTTCGCCCGCGCCAGCATCACCGGCATCAAATCCGACGGCGCCAGCGCTGGCATCGGCGTGGGAATTGGCGGCGTCGGAGGGGGCAGCCTGGCCGGTGCGTCGGGCGGCACCGGGGCCGGTGGCATTGCAGCCGGCGCCGCTCCGGCCTCCTCCTCCTCGTACTTCCAGCGCAAGGAGAAGCGCCTGCGCTTCTGCATCCGCCGCATGGTGAAGTCGCAGGCGTTCTACTGGACGGTGCTCTGCCTGGTGGCGCTCAACACGCTCTGCGTCGCCATGGTCCACTACAAGCAGCCCAAGGAGCTCACCGAAGTGCTTTGTGAGTCGGCACTACTCCCATCCCCCCATCAGTCCCTCCCCCTCCTTTCACCAACCCCCCCCACCTACCAATCCTCCCCCCCCCTCGCCGATTTCTCCCCCCCAATCCGACAGAGAAATCCATAGACTCGCATAGAAACCCATAGACTCGTGTAGAGACCCACATCATTGTGTAGAGACCCACAGACTCGCATAGACACCCATATCATCGCATAAAGACCCACATCATCGCATCGAGACCCATAGACTCACATAGAGACCCACATCATTGCGTGGCGACCCACCACAGACTCGCATACAGATCCCATGGATATAGGGAGATCAATAAACAAATAGAAAGGCCTATAGACTTATGCAGAGTCCCCATAGGTTTACAGAAAAGCCCATAGACTCCCATAGACTTACGACGGCCCTGTGGCCAAACTGGGTTCTCTTGTGCGGCAAGTTTATGGTCTCAGCCCGGTCACTCGGCGACCCCGAGTTCGATTCCCGCTCACGGCCAACATCAGTGACGATTATCTGAACCGGTCCTGGGCCTCCCCTCGGTCGGCTCAGCCTTAAATGAGTACCTGGTGCGGCGTGTAAACATCGCCGCTGGGGAGATAAAGGCGGCCGGGCGTGGTGCTGGCCACCCAGCCCCTCGTGTTGCCGTGCCTGTCATTCGTAGGTGCTACTCGCTTGAAAGCACTTACCACAAAAAGTATGTTGAGGCTGTACGGGGGATTTTGTCTTTGCAGCTTACATGGAGTTTGTGTTCCTGGGTCTCTTCCTGCTGGAAATGATGCTCAAGATGTATGGGCTCGGGATGCAGAACTACTTCCACTCCTCCTTCAACTGCTTCGACTTTGCGGTGAGATGCAGGCAGCAGCTGTAGTAGCAGCAGCAGTAGTAGCATCAGTAGGAACATGAGCAGTAGCATCATCAGTTGCAGCAGTAATAGTAGTAACAACAGCATCAGCAAAAACAGCAGATATGTCATATCTTAAGATATGCTCACGACCTACTGAAGAGATACTTACTATATACAGGGACTCCTCTACTTACGAACGGTACCAGATATCTGTTCGTTAGTCGATTTTTAAGTACAAATTTACTCCTGTCAATTCCAAAGAAGTTGTACGGCATATACACCAAAGACGGGGAATGGCTTTAAAAGTTGTATAATCTGTAGATGTAGATGCCACTGGTTATCCATGTTCTGCAGATGCAAATGCCACTGGTTTTTCACGTTCTGCAAATGTAGATACCACTGGGTTTTCACGCTCTACAGATGTAGATGCCACTGGTTCTTCATGCTCTACAGATGTAGATGCCACTGGTTCTTCACGTTCTGCAGATGTAGATGCCACTGGTTCTTCACGTTCTGCTGATATAGATGCCACTGGTTCTTCACGCTCTGCAGATGTAGATGCCACTGGTTCTTCACGCTCTACAGATGTAGATGCCACTGGTTCTTCACACTCTGCATATGTAGATGCCACTGGTTCTTCACGCTCTGCAGATGTAGATGCCACTGGTTCTTCACGCTCTACAGATGTAGATGCCACTGGTTCTTCACACTCTGCATATGTAGATGCCACTGGTTCTTCACGTTCTGCAGATGTAGATGCCACTGGTTCTTCACGCTCTGCAGATGTAGATGCCACTGGTTCTTCACGTTCTACAGATGTAGATGCCACTGGTTTTTCATGCTCTACAGATGTAGATGTCACTGGTTCTTCACGTTCTGCAGATGTAGATGCCACTGGTTCTTCACGTTCTGCAGATGTAGATGCCACTGGTTCTTCACGTTCTGCAGATGTAGATGTCACTGGTTCTTCACATTCTGCAAATGTAGATGCCACTGGTTCTTCACGTTCTGCAGATGTAGATGCCACTGGTTCTTCACGCTCTACAGATGTAGATGCCACTGGTTCTTCACGCTCTACAGATGTGGATGCCACTGGTTCTTCACGCTCTACAGATGTAGATGCCACTGGTTCTTCACGCTCTACAGATGTAGATACCACTGGTTCGTCACGCTCTACAGATGTAGATGCCACTGGTTCTTCACGTTCTGCAGATGTAGATGCCACTGGTTCTTCACGCTCTACAGATGTAGATGCCACTGGTTCTTCACGCTCTACAGATGTAGATGACACTGGTTCTTCACGCTCTACAGATGTAGATGCCACTGGTTCTTCACGTTCTGCAGATGTAGATGCCACTGGTTCGTCACGCTCTACAGATGTAGATGCCACTGGTTCTTCACGCTCTACAGATGTAGATGCCACTGTTTCTTCACGCTCTACAGATGTAGATGTCACTGGTTCTTCACGCTCTACAGATGTAGATGCCACTGGTTCTTCATGCTCTACAGATGTAGATGCCACTGGTTCTTCACGTTCTGCAGATGTAGATGCCACTGGTTCTTCATGCTCTACAGATGTAGATGCCACTGGTTCTTCATGCTCTACAGAGTAGATGACACTGGTTCTTCACGCTCTACAGATGTAGATGCCACTGGTTCTTCACGCTCTACAGATGTAGATGACACTGGTTCTTCACGCTCTACAGATGTAGATGCCACTGGTTCTTCACGCTCTACAGATGTAGATGACACGGGTTCTTCACGCTCTACAGATGTAGATGCCACTGGTCTTCACGCTCTACAGATGTAGATGACACTGGTTCTTCACGCTCTACAGATGTAGATGCCACTGGTCCTTCATGTTCCGCAGATGGAGATGCCACTGGTTCTTCACGCTCTACAGATGTAGATGCCACTGGTTCTTCACGCTCTACAGATGTAGATGACACTGGGTTCTTCACGCTCTACAGATGTAGATGCCACTGGTTCTTCACGCTCTACAGATGTAGATACCACTGGTTCTTCACGCTCTACAGATGTAGATGCCACTGGTTCTTCCACGCTCTACAGATGTAGATGCCCACTGGTTCTTCACGCTCTACAGATGTAGATGTCACTGGTTCTTCACGCTCTACAGATGTAGATGTCACTGGTTCTTCACGCTCTACAGATGTAGATGCCACTGGTTCTTCACGCTCTACAGATGTAGATGCCACTGGTTCTTCACACTCTACAGATGTAGATGCCACTGGTTTTTCACGCTCTACAGATGTAGGATGCCACTGGTTCTTCACGCTCTACAGATGTAGATGCCACTGGTTATTCACGCTCTGCAGACGTAGATGCCACTGGTTCTTCACGCTCTACAGATGTAGATGCCACTGGTTCTTCACGCTCTACAGATGTAGATGCCACTGGTTCTTCACGCTCTCCAGATGTAGATGCCACTGGTTCTCCACGCTCTACCGATGTAGATGCCACTGGTTCTCCATGCTCTACAGATGTAGATGCCACTGGTTCTTCACGCTCTACAGATGTAGATGACACTGGTTCTTCACGCTCTACAGATGTAGATGCCACTGGTTCTTCACGCTCTACAGATGTAGATGCCACTGGTTCTTCACGCTCTAAAAGATATAGATGCCACTGGTTCTTCACGCTCTACAGATGTAGATGCCACGGTTCTTCACGCTCTACAGATGTAGATGTCACTGGTTCTTCACGCTCTACAGATGTAGATGCCACTGTTTCTTTCACGCTCTACAGATGTAGATGCCACTGGTTCTTCACGCTCTACAGATGTAGATGCCACTGGTTCTTCACGCTCTGCAGATGTAGATGCCACTGGTTCTTCACGCTCTACAGATGTAGATGCCACTGGTTCTTCACGCTCTACAGATGTATATGCCACTGGTTCTTCACGTTCTGCAGATGTAGATGCCACTGGTTCTTCACGCTCTACAGATGTAGATGCCACTGGTTCTTCACGCTCTACAGATGTAGATGCCACTGGTTCTTCACGCTCTACAGATGTAGATGCCACTAGTTCTTCACGCTCTACAGATGTAGATGTCACTGGTTCTTCACGCTCTACAGATGTAGATGCCACTGGTTCTTCACGCTCTACAGATGTAGATGCCACAGGTTCTTCACGCTCTACAGATGTAGATGCCACTGGATCTTCACATTCTACAGATGTAGATGCCACTGGTTCTTCACGCTCTACAGATGTAGATGCCACTGGTCCTTCATGTTCTGCAGATGTAGATGCCACTGGTTCTTCACGCTCTACAGATGTAGATGCCACTGGTTCTTCATGCTCTACAGATGTAGATGACACTGGTTCTTCACGCTCTAAAGATGTAGATGCCACTGGTTCTTCACGCTCTACAGATGTAGATGCCACTGGTTCTTCACGCTCTACAGATGTGGATGCCACTGGTTCTTCACGCTCTACAGATGTAGATGCCACTGGTTCTTCATGCTCTACAGATGTAGATGCCACTGGTTCTTCACGTTCTGCAGATGTAGATGCCACTGGTTCTTCATGCTCTACAGATGTAGATGCCACTGGTTCTTCATGCTCTACAGATGTAGATGACACTGGTTCTTCACGCTCTACAGATGTAGATGCCACTGGTTCTTCACGCTCTACAGATGTAGATGACACTGGTTCTTCACGCTCTACAGATGTAGATGCCACTGGTTCTTCACGCTCTACAGATGTAGATGCCACTGGTTCTTCACGCTCTACAGATGTAGATGTCACTGGTTCTTCACGCTCTACAGATGTAGATGCCACTGGTTCTTCACGCTCTACAGATGTAGATGCCACAGGTTCTTCACGCTCTACAGATGTAGATGCCACTGGATCTTCACATTCTACAGATGTAGATGCCACTGGTTCTTCACGCTCTACAGATGTAGATGCCACTGGTCCTTCATGTTCTGCAGATGTAGATGACACTGGTTCTTCACGCTCTACAGATGTAGATGCCACTGGTTCTTCATGCTCTACAGATGTAGATGACACTGGTTCTTCACGCTCTACAGATGTAGATGCCACTGGTTCTTCACGCTCTACAGATGTAGATGCCACTGTTCTTCACGCTCTACAGATGTGGATGCCACTGGTTCTTCACGCTTCTACAGATGTAGATGCCACTGGTTCTTCACTGCTCTACAGATGTAGATACCACTGTTTCGTCACGCTCTACAGATGTAGATGCCACTGGTTCTTCACGTTCTGCAGATGTAGATGCCACTGGTTCTTCACGCTCTACAGATGTAGATGCCACTGGTTCTTCACGCTCTACAGATGTAGATGACACTGGTTCTTCACGCTCTACAGATGTAGATGCCACTGGTTCTTCACAGTTCTGCAGATGTAGATGCCACTGGTCGTCACGCTCTACAGATGTAGATGCCACTGGTTCTTCACGCTCTACAGATGTAGATGCCACTGGTTCTTCACGCTCTACAGATGTAGATGACACTGGTTCTTCACGCTCTACAGATGTAGATGCCACTGGTTCTTCATGCTCTACAGATGTAGATGCACTGGTTCTTCACGTTCTGCAGATGTAGATGCCACTGGTTCTTCATGCTCTACAGATGTAGATGCCACTGGTTCTTCATGCTCTACAGATGTAGATGACACTGGTTCTTCACGCTCTACAGATGTAGATGCCACTGGTTCTTCACGCTCTAAGATGTAGATGACACTGGTTCTTCACGCTCTACAGATGTAGATGCCACTGGTTCTTCACGCTCTACAGATGTAGATGACACGGGTTCTTCACGCTCTACAGATGTAGATGCCACTGGTTCTTCACGCTCTACAGATGTAGATGACACTGGTTCTTCACGCTCTACAGATGTAGATGCCACTGGTCCTTCATGTTCTGCAGATGTAGATGCCACTGGTTCTTCACGCTCTACAGATGTAGATGCCACTGGTTCTTCACGCCTACAGATGTAGATGCCACTGGTTCTTCACGCTCTACAGATGTAGATGCCACTGGTTCTTCACGCTCTACAGATGTAGATGCCACTGGTTCTTCACGCTCTACAGATGTAGATGCCACTGGTTCTTCACGCTCTACAGATGTAGATGCCACTGGTTCTTCACGCTCTACAGATGTTAGATGCCACTGGTTCTTCATGCTCTACAGATGTAGATGTCACTGGTTTCTTCACGCTCTACAGATGTAGATGTCACTGGTTCTTCACGCTCTACAGATGTAGATGCCACTGGTTCTTCACGCTCTACAGATGTAGATGCCACTGGTTCTTCACGCTCTACAGATGTAGATGCCACTGGTTTTCACGCTCTACAGATGTAGATGCCACTGGTTCTTCACGCTCTACAGATGTAGATGCCACTGGTTATTCACGCTCTGCAGACGTAGATGCCACTGGTTCTTCACGCTCTACAGATGTAGATGCCACTGGTTCTTCACGCTCTACAGATGTAGATGACACTGGTTCTTCACGCTCTACAGATGTAGATGCCACTGGTTCTTCACGTTCTGCAGATGTAGATGCCACTGGTTCGTCACGCTCTACAGATGTAGATGCCACTGGTTCTTCACGCTCTACAGATGTAGATGCCACTGGTTCTTCACGCTCTACAGATGTAGATGTCACTGGTTCTTCACGCTCTACAGATGTAGATGCCACTGGTTCTTCATGCTCTACAGATGTAGATGCCACTGGTTCTTCACGTTCTGCAGATGTAGATGCCACTGGTTCTTCATGCTCTACAGATGTAGATGCCACTGGTTCTTCATGCTCTACAGATGTAGATGACACTGGTTCTTCACGCTCTACAGATGTAGATGCCATGGTTCTTCACGCTCTACAGATGTAGATGACACTGGTTCTTCACGCTCTACAGATGTAGATGCCACTGGTTCTTCACGCTCTACAGATGTAGATGACACGGGTTCTTCACGCTCTACAGATGTAGATGCCACTGGTTCTTCACGCTCTACAGATGTAGAATGACACTGGTTCTTCACGCTCTACAGATGTAGATGCCACTGGTCCTTCATGTTCTGCAGATGTAGATGCCACTGGGTTCTTCACGCTCTACAGATGTAGATGCCACTGGTTCTTCACGCTCTACAGATGTAGATGCCACTGGTTCTTCACGCTCTACAGATGTAGATGCCACTGGTTCTTCACGCTCTACAGATGTAGATGCCACTGGTTCTTCACGCTCTACAGATGTAGATGCCACTGGTTCTTCACGCTCTACAGATGTAGATGCCACTGGTTCTTCACGCTCTACAGATGTAGATGCCACTGGTTCTTCATGCTCTACAGATGTAGATGTCACTGGTTCTTCACGCTCTACAGATGTAGATGTTCACTGGTTCTTCACGCTCTACAGATGTAGATGCCACTGGTTCTTCACGCTCTACAGATGTAGATGCCACTGGTTTCTTCACGCTCTACAGATGTAGATGCCACTGGTTTTCACGCTCTACAGATGTAGATGCCACTGGTTTCTTCACGCTCTACAGATGTAGATGCCACTGGTTATTCACGCTCTGCAGACGTAGATGCCACTGGTTCTTCACGCTCTACAGATGTAGATGCCACTGGTTCTTCACGCTCTACAGATGTAAGATGCCACTGGTTCTTCACGCTCTCCAGATGTAGATGCCACTGGTTCTCCACGCTCTACCGATGTAGATGCCACTGGTTCTTCACGCTCTACAGATGTAGATGCCACTGTTCTTCACGCTCTACAGATGTAGATGACACTGGTTCTTCATGCTCTACAGATGTAGATGCCACTGGTTCTTCACGCTCTACAGATGTAGATGCCACTGGTTCTTCACGCTCTACAGATATAGATGCCACTGGTTCTTCACGCTCTACAGATGTAGATGCCACTGGTTCTTCACGCTCTACAGATGTAGATGTCACTGGTTCTTCATGCTCTACAGATGTAGATGCCACTGTTTCTTCACGCTCTACAGATGTAGATGCCACTGGTTCTTCACGCTCTACAGATGTAGATGCCACTGGTTCTTCACGCTCTGCAGATGTAGATGCCACTGGTTCTTCACGCTCTGCAGATGTAGATGCCACTGGTTCTTCACGCTCTACAGATGTAGATGCCACTGGTTCTTCACGCTCTACAGATGTAGATGCCACTGGTTCTTCACGTTCTGCAGATGTAGATGCCACTGGTTCTTCACGCTCTACAGATGTAGATGCCACTGGTTCTTCACGCTCTACAGATGTAGATGCCACTGGTTCTTCACGCTCTACAGATGTAGATGCCACTGGTTCTTCACGCTCTACAGATGTAGATGTCACTGGTTCTTCACGCTCTACAGATGTAGATGCCACTGGTTCTTCACGCTCTACAGATGTAGATGCCACTGGTTCTTCACGCTCTACAGATTAGATGCCACTGGATCTTCACATTCTACAGAATGTAGATGCCACTGGTTCTTCACGTTCTACAGATCTAGATGACACTGGTTCTTCACGCTCTACAGATGTAGATGCCACTGGTTCTTCACGCTCTACAGATGTAGATGCTAATTCCCTTTGGTGTTCGTGTTTTCTCTACTCTTTTTAAACAACTGACTGAGAGATGTCTGCACAGTTGCTCTCTTCTTTTCATAAATCAACCTGTCACAGGCAATAGCATCGTGAACAGCTGCAACTGGACATACGAACAGATTTGTTCATATCTCTGAACGTTCGTAAGTCGATTTATTCGTAAGCAGATTCCCCCTATATACGAAGCGGAGCTCACCAGGAGGAGGAATGGCGTTGATGGGAGGGGAATGTCCGTGCGGTGCAGGTGGTGATCGGCAGCATCTTCGAAATCATCTGGTCCACTCTGCAGCCCAGGTCGGCGTTCGGCCTCAGGGTTCTGCGGGCCCTGAGGCTTCTGAGGATCTTCAAGGTGACCAAGTGAGTGGGACCCCCCACACCCCCACATCCCCCCACCCCCCACCACCCCCCCCAACGACACACGATACTTCTTAGCGCTTGGGGACTTTCCGTAGCGGCAGCCGATGGCGATGACGACGACGATAACGACAACGACGATGACGACGACGACGACGACGACGACGATGACGACGACGACGATGACGATGACGACGATGATGACGACGACGACGATGACGGACAATGACGACGACGATGATGACGATGATGACGACGATGACAACGACTCGCCCTGCAAGACGCTTGGCGTTGTGCGGACGAACGAAGTGTCGCGGTGTCCGATGTGGCCGCGGTGCGTGTACCCAGTGCGATGTGTAAAGAAGCGTCACTGCCGGGGGGGTGGGGGGAGACCAAGGTGGCCGGGCGTGGCGGTGTCCACACCCATAATACAAGTTTCCCCCCCCCCCCTCCATGGGTTTGATCGCGTAATTATAAACGCATGCGCCGTTAAACCCGCCACCACCCGACACGACCATTTGGTAAGGTTTGTCACGTAACACAAAAACGTGCGCAATTAGCTTCGACATCAGCACGAAGCCGGTTGTGCGTTGGAGCGAACCCATGGCAATATTTACATTTCGAGTGACCGTGACGTTTGGCTGGCGATTGTGGTCGCCACCCACCCCTAGCGTGTACCACGGTGGCGGCTTTCATACGTGCTGCTGCTGGCTTACGGCACTTGCCCTCAACAGCCTGCGAGAGCCTATATGGGGGGCCTTTGTCTCTACGTGGGTAATGGTCGTCTCTTGAGGGGAGCGGTGGCGTAGCGGTTAGCGCCACGCTGCGCTACGAACCCCGGCGACCCGGGCTCCATCCCCGCTCACGGCCAACACCAGTGACGATTATCTGAACCGGTCCTGGGCCTCCCCCCGAGGTCGACTCAGCCTCAAATTAGTACCTGGTGCTGTGCGTAAGCATCGCCACTTAGGGAGACAGAGGCGGCCGCGGCGTGGTGCTGGCCACCCCCCTCCTCGTGTGCGACAGTGCGGCCTTCATAGGTGTTCGCAATCAGCACCGTGTCCCCAACAGTCAGCACGTGTCCCCAACAGGTCTGTTACAGGCTACACGAGGGGGCGGGGATGCATTGTCTGTGCGCGTGCGCTTGTATGTAGGTACTGGTCATCTTTGCGGAATCTGGTTGTGTCTCTGCTCAACTCCATGAAGTCCATTGTGTCCCTCCTCTTCCTGCTCTTCCTCTTCATCGTCGTCTTCGCTCTGCTGGGCATGCAGCTCTCGGGGGCCAGTGAGTGGAATGCAGTCAAACTTTACCAGGGTCCCCCCCCCCTCCCCCCCTCCTGCTGGATTCCAACCGCGAAAAAAAAATCTCCACAAATACCGGAGAGAGAAGAAATCCGTTGGGGGTGAAAATAAAATCTCGCACGCCAAATGTAACCCCCCCCTCCTCATCCTCCTCCTCCTTGTTATCAGAGAACGGAACCCACTTAAGCAGATATCATACAGCTACCTCCGAGATCCGCTTCTTGAAACGACGTCTGGTCCACACAGAACGGCTTCACGGAAGCGCATTCCACAGAACTACCTCTGAGATTTCTTCTGCAGAGGGCAGCAATCTCCCCCCCCCGCTCTGCCATATGAGAGTAATGTTTGTTGCACGGCAGTTAAAATTTATGTTTGTTTTATTTTTGTTAATTCTCAGAGCCAGCAATGGGATCTCTAGCGGATGCGCCCTCGGATGTCTTTGTAATTCGTTTTCTCTCTCGCCCGTCTTCCTCCAGATTTAACTTCGACCACAGCACCCCCGACACGAACTTCAACACCTTCCCGGCGGCCATCATGACCGTGTTCCAGGCAGGTCCCTCTGTTCCTCACTCGCACCCCCGGTATCGCGCACTCCGCACGAAGCATGCAGCCAGGGGACGACGATGGTGAGGGTGGTGGCGGTGATGGTCGGTGGTGGCGATGATGGTGATGGCAATGATGAAGATGGTGATGAAGATGATGACAATGATGATGATGATTTTTCGATTTAAAGCTTTCGTGACTACAAAGGATTCATCTTCTTGGTTCTTTCGGTAAAGTCACGTAGAATGAGAATAAAATAATAAATTGATAATATAAAATAACAATAAAATTCTCACAACGTTTTGGCCACAACACAAGTGGCCTTCATCAGGTGAAGGGACGAGACTGTCTGGTCGTGACAGCAATGATGGCGATGACAATAGCAATGATGATGCCGATGATGGAGATGATAATGGTGATGAAGATGGTGATTGAGATAGTGATGATGATAACGATGAAGCGATGATGATGATGGCGATGATGGTAGTGATGATGGCAATGATGGTAGTGATGATGGTAGTGATGATGGTAGTGATGATGGTGTTGATGGAGAAGATGATGATGGCGATGATGGTGGCGATGGTGATGATGGTGATCATGACAGCAATGATGGCGATGACAATAGCAATGATGATGCCGAACATGGTGATGAAGATGGTGATGATAACGATGATGGCAATAATGATGATAGTGATGATGGCGACGATGGTGGTGATAGCGATGATCGCGATGATGGTGGCGATGATGATGATGACGACTTGCCCCTGCGCTGCTTGCAGATCCTGACGGGCGAGGACTGGAACGTGGTGATGTACGATGCCATCGTGTCGCAGGGCGGCGTCGACGACGGGATGTTCGCCTCCCTCTACTTCATCGTCCTCACCCTCTTCGGGAACTGTATCCTAACCCCCCACCACCCCCACCCTCCACATCATCGTCCTCACATGAACTCCAGTCATCCCTCGCAGCAGTAGCAGCAGCAGTGGTGGTGGCTTTCTTGGCTGGCTGCTGCTCCTGCGACCGTCTGGAACGCTCTTCCCTTTCCGATATTAAGAAGTCCACTCCAGGAGCTGTATGGCACTTTAAATCATCATTTGGATTGACAAACTAATTTCCTGAGAACCGCTTGTTGTTGTTGTTGATGTGTCTTTAGTTTGTTGTCCCTTTCCCCCGCCCGCACCTCCGATTAGCATGGTTGGCTACGTACGGTGCGAAAGAAGTTCAACGCACGTAGATACGCAACGCACTCCAGCTGAGGCGTGAAATGTTTAAACATCAGCTCTGTCCATCTGTCTGCCTGTCCATTTGTCTTTCCGTCTGGGTTCCCATCGGTCTCTCTATCCGTGTGTCTCCCCATCTTTCCATGTGTCCATCTGTCCATCCCTCTGTTCGTCCGTCCGTGCGTCCGATGTCTGTCCATCCGTCCACCCGTCCGGCGTGTGCGTGCTCGTGTCCGCCTGCTAAGGTTGTCCCTTGAGCTTCTGCGCGGTGTCCGTGCTGAGCCCTTAGCGACGTCCACTGTGACGCACAGACACCCTCCTCAACGTCTTCCTGGCCATCGCTGTGGACAATCTCGCCAATGCCCAGGAGCTGACCAAGGTGATGAATCGATGAGGGTGATCGTCGGTGCCCCGAGCGCAGGGAGCAGCGGCGCAGCGGTTAGCGCGGCCGCGTTACGAAACCCGGCAGCCCGAGTTCGGTTCCCCGCTCACGACCCACCACCGACACCGGTGACGGTTGTCTGAACCGGTCCCGGCCTCCCCCTAGGTCCACTCAGCCTGCGACGAGTACTTTGTTCAGAATACTGCAGCGAGAGTGCTTACACGGTCACCATTCCGTGAGCGCATTACACCAGGTCCTCTTAGCACTTCATTGGCTACCGGTCAAATTCCGGATGCATTTTTATGGTACTGCTATTCACCTTTAAGGCTTTAAAAGGGCTCGCCCCACATTACTTGCAGGAACTATTACATTGATATATTCCATCACGGTCCTTAACATCTTCTGATCTCCAACTTCTCGGCACTCCCAGGTTGCGCTCTTTTGGTGACCGGGCTTTTGTTAGTGTGGCACCGAAACCATGGATCGCCTTGCTACTTGAAATCAGGGCAATCAGAGTCGGTAGATTCAAGTCCGCTTTGAAACTCCATCTCTTTAAAGTTGCCTTGCCTCTCGAGTTCGGTTGGTTGCCCCCTGGTTCTGTTTTTGTCTCCTGCTCTTCATGCGTTGCGCACTGGGATCCCAGGTATGAGAATGCACAACCATACATTTGATTTATTATTATTATCGCTGCAAACATCGCCACTCGAGAGACGAAGGCGTGTGGTGTGTTGGCCACCCGGGCACCGGCCTTCCGTGGGTGCCGCTTCATCGCCAAACGGCATTTGCCCCGACGGTCCGTTGCGGCTACGCTGGGGCGACCTTTGTCCTTGATGTGGCTGGCGGTGGGAGCTTGACGCGTACGGGAGATGTATGTGGGTGTTGCGCGGTTACTCCCAGCAGGACGAGGAGGAGGAAGAGGAGGCTGCCACGCATAAACTCGCCATGCAGAAAGCCCGGGAGGTCGCGGAGGTCAGCCCCATGTCGGCCGCCAATCTGTCCAGGTGGGGATACGCGGCGGCGTCGTCGTCGTCATCGTTGTTGTAATCATCATCGTCACCATCAACGTCATCATCGCTGTCACCCTCATCATCATCATATCATCATCACCATCGCCACCGTCGTTTACTCCCTTCCTCCCGTCCTCCCCGCGCCGTCGTGCGCCAGCAAGGAGCCACGGCTCTCCTCCAAGCCACGCTCCGTGTGGGAGCAGCGCGCCAACGAGCTGCGGCGCCAGCACCTGCGCGCCACCAGCACGGAGGCCCTCAACGCCAGCCCCTTCCGCACCTCGTCGGCCTGCTACCGGCCCCCGCCCGACCCCACGGCCACGCGGCCCCCGCAGGCCGCCGGAGCCGCCGGAGCCGCCGGAGCCGCCGTCGTTGGCGGCGGCTCCGGTGTCGGAGTCGGCGGAATCGCCGGCGCCGTGCCGACCGGAGGCCTGGCGCTCGGGCACCCGGGCCGCGATGACGTGTTTACCGGTGAGTGGTGGTAATGGTGGTGGTGGTAACGGTGGTGGTGGTAATGGTGGTGCTAGTAACAGTGGTGGTGGTGGTAACGGTGGTGGTAACGGTAGTGTAGTAGCATGTTAGCGCCGTGTTGCGCAACAAACTCGGCAATCCCGAGTTCGATTCCTGCTCACGGTCACCAACATCGGTGATGATTATCTGAACTGGTCCTGGGCCCCTCTCCGAGATCGACTCATCCTCAAAATGAGTACCTGGTGAAGTGGCTGGATGGTGTGGACGGTGGTGGGTGGTGTTCAGTTAATTCTTCAACCCAACCATCTATCCGCTGCACCCACCCATCCATCCGTTCGTCCATACGACCGTCCATTCGCCCATAAGTCCATCCTATTTGTCCCCCTGTCTGTCAGTCCAACCGTCTGTTTGTCCATCCATCCAATCTGTCCAATCCGTCTGTCCATCCATCCGTCGGTGCATGTATCTGACCGGCTGCGTGCGTGTGCCTCGCAGGAGAGAGGGAGTTCCTCCTCACCTCCTCGGGCCTGGAGGCCCCGCGGAGACCCAACGGAGTGCCGCGGGATGGGGAGCTCAACGGGCAGAGGGGCGCCGCCGATGGCGTGCGCAGGTACCGGTTCGAATCCAGTGGCCGCCCCCCGGCCAACAACAAGAACAATAATCATTTACATTTATAAAGTGGCACACCTTTATCCGCAAATGCTCGCAGGCTAGGCGGGGGGGTTAAAGGTCGGTTTAAAAGGTGAGTTTTCAAGACAAAACTTAAACAGCAGTCCCTAATGTCTCATTGCCAAAGGCGCAAAGAAATGAGTCTGGCAGCTGCACAGTGGCAACATCCATTCACCCATTCACCCATTCATCCACTCACCCAGTCACCCACTCACCCGCTCATCCACTCACCCACTCATCCACTCACTCACCCAGTCACCCACTCACCCACTCATCCACTCACCCAGTCACCCACTCATCCACTCACCCAGTCACCCACTCACCAAGTCACTCACTCACCCACTCACCAAGTCATTCACTCACCCACACACCCACTCATCCACCCACTCATCCACTCATTCACCCACTCACCAACCCAACCACTCAGACGCATCCACTCACCCACTCACCTACAAGACGGCACTGAAACAGCTCTCTCTAAGTAGGACGCTAGATATCCGGTGATGCCACTCGCAAGCGGTAGGCCTCTACGTGACGGCATCGTGGTCAGAATGCGCCAATAATTTTTCTTTTTTTTCATCTTTATCCACACCGCAAACGACCCGATTGGGTATGTCGTGGAGAAGGGCCATCACCCGGAACATCACGCAAGTTGAATCGTTAGTTGTAACAATAACAAGAAGGTTGTTTTATTTTTCTCTTTTTTTTACTTGTGTACGGCACTTTTGAGATGACCAATTTGATAAGTGCTTCATGAAACTGAGTTCCTCATCATCGTTATAATTATGATCATTGTAATAAAAGTAACTCATGGAGAGTCAGTCTCCACCCGCTTCCCCGACACGCAGCCAGAAACGGCCCGGGTTGGAGTCCCGACTCGGGTGATGGTGTCTCGCTTCCCCCCACGCCACCCCCCGCCCAGGGACGGCCACATGGGCATCAACGCCACCGTCGGCGTGCCCTCCCTCGACGCCAAGGGCCCAGGGTCAGAGGGCAACGGCAAGGGTGGGGGCAAGGCCGAGCCGAGCCAGCTGGTGAAGATCCCGGTCACTCTCACCGGGCCCGCCGGAGACTCCACGCAGCTGCAAGGTGACAGGTTTACTCTGCCCCCCTCCGCACGGGCGTGGTAGGCTTTCGTAACCAACATCATCCACATTCCACAATGGAGGTTTTTTTTTGGGTTAGATCGCATAAATACATGAATGTGTCGTTAAACCCCGCCACCCCCGACACAGCCAACTAGTAAGGGTTGTCACGTAAACAGAACGTGCCAATTCGTCACTAGTGCAGCACACCGGTGTGTTAGAGAGCCAAGCCACAACATTTACAATCTGAGTACGACGTTTCGCCAGTAATTACAACTAGCTTCATCAGGCGACAGCCAGATTTGTGGAGAAGTCCACATAACTGATGTCACTACTGTGTTGAGACAGTCCCAGGTAATGAAGGGTACTGTAGGTGGAGAGCGTCCGGGTGTCACTGAGGTCGCGTCAGGCAGTGACATCTGGCGTGAACCCGATAGGGCACGTGACCGGACCAAGGGGGGCCAGGGGACCCCAGATGGAGGCGCGGTGGTCACGTGGTAAGGGACCTAGACCTTCCCGAAGGATCGGGAAGGGGGCGTGGCCGAGGGCGGAGCCGACCACGCCGCAGCCGTTATAAGCCTTGTGCGGAGAGAGAGCGGGGCTGAAGATGCCATCTTCGGTCCTCGAGTCTCCGATCTCCGCTCGTGCACCAGGCAGCCTGGTCACCTGTCGTCGTCCCGTTATGTATTTATCCCTCCCAGTGTTAGTTAAATTAGGAACGGCGGTCACCACCTTATAAAGTTGTTCGAGTGTGTCTGTTTAATAAATAGTGTTGCCTCCAAGTTTAAGTGTGCGTCTCAAGTGAACCCATTACACTTATATAGAGGCATAGATGTGGTGACCACACTTCTACGCTGTTCTTGCGAAAAGTGGGGGGGGTGGGGATTAATGAGTCAATGTACATTATGCATGTGCATTATGCGAGCCCATTGCCTGTCCATTGTGTGTATTAAAATAGGCACTAAGTGGGTAGCTATCCGAACGGTTAAAATTATTTTTATTTTTTTCAATTTAGATAGATTCTCTAATTAGATTAATTATTACTCTTGGCCAGTAGTAGCTAGTTTTGGCGTGGCGTCGAGCAGTTAGCATCGGCACGGTGTAACAACAACGCCACCGTGACCTCCGCCCTCACCACTACCACCGTCACCGCCGCTACCACCTTCACCAACACCACCGCCACTGCCACCAACACCGCCAACACTACCATCGTCACCACTACCACCACTACCACCATCACCAACACCACTTCCATCGTCACCACTACCACTGTCACCACCGCTACCACTATCACCAACACCATCACCACCACCAACACAACCAATGCTGCCACTACCAACGTCACTACAACCATTACCAACACCGCCAAAACCATCACCTCCAATACCACTGCCGCCACCACCGTGGCCGCGTTTGTGCCACAGGCGCGGGGAAGGAGGATAAAGAGGCGGAGGCGGAGGAGGGGGAGGGGGCGGAGGGCGACCCCACGGGCCCCAAGCCCATGGTGCCCTTCAGTTCCATGTTCGTCTTCAGCACCACCAACCCGTACGTACTGCCACGCACCACCACACACCACCAACAGAAACCGCCACCACCACCGCCACGCACCACCACCACGCACCGCAACCACCACCGTCACCACCACGCACCGCCACCGTCACCACCACCACCACACACGACCACCACAAACCGCCACCACCACCGTGCACTGCCACCACCACAAACCACCACCGCCACCACAACCACCATGCACCACCGCCACCCCACGACCACCACCCACCTCCACCACCGCCACCACTATGAACCACCGCCGGCACTTACACCACCACCACCACCATGCACCACCACGAACCACCACCACCACCACCACGAACTACCGCCACCACCATGAGCCACCACCACCACCACGAACCACCACGAACCACCACCACAACCACCACCACGAACCACCACCACCACGAACCACCACCACCGCCGCCCAGCTGATCACCGCGTGTGCGTGCAGTGTGCGCCGTGCGTGCCACTACGTGGTGAACATGCGCTACTTCGAGATGTGCATCCTCCTGGTCATCGCCATGAGCAGCATCGCGCTCGCCGCAGAGGACCCCGTCGATGCCGGCTCCATCCGCAACAAGGTGCGCGCACGCAGACACTGACAAAGATCCCCCGGGTAGCCTCGACGGACCGTTGGGGCGAGTGCCGTTAGCGGGCGCCTGCGAAGGCCGGCACCGCGGCACACGAGGGGGTGGTTGCCCGGCTCCTGACAGCGGGTCTTGCTCTGTCGTTGCAGGTGCTGCGGTACTTCGATTACGTCTTCACTGGGGTCTTCACCTTCGAAATGGTCTTTAAGGTTTGTCGGCGTTCGCCGTTTGTTGCGCCCCTGGCGGCAGCCGCTGCCGGGAACGCTGTCCATCCTCGGGCGGTGAACGTCATGATGATGATGATGACGATGACGACGATGATGATGATGACGACGATGACAACGAAGATGACAACGACGATGACAATGATAATTACAACGACAATGATGACGACGACGACGATGATGATGATGATGACGATGATGATGACGACGATGACGATGACGATGACAACGAAGATGACAACGACGATGACAATGATAATTACAACGACAATGATGACGACGACGACGATGATGATGATGATGATGACGATGATGATGACGACGATGACGTTGATGATGATGACAACAATGATGATGACGACGATGATGACGATAAAGATGATGACGATGATGACGATGATGATGATGATGACGACGATGACAACAACGATGACAACGACGATGATTATGACGATGACGACGACGACGATGATGATGATGACAATGACGATGATGACGATGATGACGATGACGACGATGATGATGATGACAATGACTATGGTGATGACGACGATGACATCGATGATGATGACGACGATGACATCGATGATGATGACGATGATGACAACGACGATGACAACGACGATGACGACGACGACGATGATGATGATGACGACGATGACAACGGTGATGATGACGACGATGATGACGACGATGACAGCGATGATGATGGCGACGCACGCAGCGCATTCCTGGTGACGCTTATGGGGTTTACGTTGTGGGCAGCTGAGGGACAGCATGGCAAACGCCATTGCTGTACTGTAATCCTATGCCCCCCCCACATCCATTTCTGACGGCGGGCCGCCTGTATCCCCCTCTCACTCTGCTCCTCCTCCCCCTCCTCCTCCTCCCTTCTCCTCCCTCCTCTCTCCCCTCCTCCTTCTCCTCGTCGTCGCTGCCTGCTGCGAGCAGATGATCGACCTGGGCCTGGTGCTCCACCGTGGGGCCTACTTCCGCGACCCCTGGAACATCCTGGACTTCATCGTCGTGAGCGGCGCCCTCCTCGCGTTTGCCTTCTCGTGAGTCCACGCTCGCAAACGCGCCGCTGGAGCGCCACCTGACCGCTCAAGCCTGACCTTGACAGCTAAACCCTGAACCTGACAGGCAAACCCTGACCCTGACAGCTAAACCCTGAACCTGATAGCTAAACCCTGACAGCTAAACCCTGAACCTGACAGCCAAACCCTGAACCTGACAGCCAAACCCTGAACCTGACAGCCAAACCCTGAACTTGACAGCCAAACCCTGATCCTGATAGCTAAACCCTGACCCTGACAGCTAAACCCTGAACCTGACAGCCAAACCCTGATCCTGACAGCTAAACCCTGACCCTGACAGCTAAACCCTGACCCTGACAGCTAAACCCTGAACCTGACAGCCAAACCCTGAACCTGACGGCCAAACCCTGAACCTGACAGCCAAACCCTGAACCTGACAGCCAAACCCTGACCCTGATAGCTAAACCCTGACCCTGACAGCTAAACCCTGAACCTGACAGCCAAACCCTGAACCTGACAGCCAAACCCTGAACCTGACAGCCAAACCCTGAACCTGACAGCCAAACCCTGAACCTGACAGCCAAACCCTGAACCTGACAGCCAAACCCTGACCCTGATAGCCAAACCCTGACCCTGACAGCTAAACCCTGACCCTGACAGCTAAACCCTGACCCTGACAGCCAAACCCTGACCCTGAGCGCTCAATTCTGACCCTGACCGCTGGACGCTAGACATAACTGCTACACCCTGACCTTGACCACTCAACTCTAACCCTGACCGCTAAATGGTAACCCTGACCGCTAAACCTAATCCTTACCCTGGCTGCTGAACCCTGACCGAATGAACCCTAACACGAGCTGCCACACCCCCCCCCACCGCGTGTCTCTAACTCCACCCTCTCCCCTTCTCTCTCTCCCCTCCACAACCGCAGAAGCAACACGGAAGCCGAGTAAGATGTGACGCCTCAGTGCACTCCACCGCTGCACGTTACACACAAACATACACACCATCCCTCCCTCCCTCCCACCCACCATCCCTCCCACCCACCTCCCACCACCCTTACCCCCCACCACCCTTACCCCCCACGACCACCCACCCACCATCCCTCCCTCCCTCCCACCCACCATCCCTCCCACCCCCACCCTCCACCCTTACCCCCCACAACCACCCACCCACCATCCCTCCCTCCCTCCCTCCCACCATACCTCCCACCCACCTCCCACCACCCTACACCCTTACCACCCACCCACCCACCATCCCTCCCACCCACCTCCCACCACCACCACACCCCCCACCACCCTCCACCCTTACCCCCCACGACGACCCACCCACCATCCCTCCCCCCTACCACCCACCACGGCTCCGCCGATCTGGCCGCTGTGGCCGAGGTTAGAGGCGGTTCCGCTGAGGGCCGTGGGCTCCGCCGCTCCCGGTGTTTGCCCGAACCGCGGTAACTGCGCCGGTGGTGATTTCTTCGGCTTAGCGTGGCGGGTCGCCGGCTCTCCCGGCCCGGTCGCCCCGCTCACGTTGCCAGAGTGCCCCCCAATGGGATTTATTTTATTTTTTTCGGTCTCGCGCCGATTGTTTTTAAAACCGCACCGTCGTGCCGCTCTTTCCGTTGCCGACGAGAATTCAGTGAAGCGTTGGGGACGCCCAGAAGCGGTTCACGGTACGTATGTATGTTGTATGTTGTATGTATGTTGTATGTATGTTGTATGTATGTTGTATGTATGTTGTATGTATGTTGTACATGCGTGTGTCGTACGTGTGTACGTTGAACTTGTTCCGCGCCGTGCGGAGCCAACCGCACCGATCGTCGGTGCGGTGCCGCACCGCACCGACGTCGGCCGTAGCCGGGAATGGAAGTCGCTGGGCTCTTAGTGGCACAGCGCGGCTAAACCACCACGACCATGACCATCACCACCACGACCACCACCACAACCACCACCACAACCACCACCACCACGATAACCACAACTACCACCACGACCACCACCACAACCACCACCACGACTACCACCACGCCCACCACCACGACCATCACCACCACCACAACCACCGCCACAACCACCACGACTACCACCACCACGACTACCACCACCACGACTACCACCACCACGACCACCACGACTTCCACCAAAACGACTACCACCACCACGACCATCATCACCACGAACATCACCACCACGACCATCACCACCGCCACAACCACCGCCACAACCACCGCCACAACCACCACGACCACCACGACCACCACCACACCCACCACCACAACCACCACCACGACAACCACGACTACCACCACCACAACCACCACAACCACCACCACGACTACCACAACCACCACGACCACCACCACCGCTGCCGCCACTGCCGCGCCACAGCTCCTTTGCCTCCCTGATTGGTGGGTTTACAAATCAATTCCTCGATATACAAACACTACAAATGCAATCAGATGGGTGCGAACGCATGTGTGCGTCCGTGCGTGCGTGTGTACGCGTCCCTGCGTGTGTGCGTGCATGCGTGCATGCGTGCGAGCGTGTGCATGCGTGCGTGCGTGCGCGTGCGTGCGTGTGTGTGCGTGCTTGTGCGCAAGCACAGACAACAACGACAAACAACACAAACCCAACACGTTCAGTGTCAATAACAACAACCACTCAACACGTTCCATTTCAATAACAACAACAGCCCAACACGTTCTGTGTCAACAAGAACATCAACACGGCACACCGCTTGTGGGCTTGAAAGGAAAACAACATATACCCAACAGGCGACGTTTCGTGCGATGGCCCTTCTCACTGATGCGCTCTTGTCCGCTGTCCGCTTGGTTCGCAGGGGCCCCAAGAACCGCAAGGGAGGCAGGGAGGCAAGGATCTGAACACCATCAAGTCCCTGCGCGTGTTGCGCGTGCTGAGGCCCCTGAAAACTATCAAGAGACTCCCCAAACTCAAGGCAGCTCGCTCACCCGCTTGCTCACTCCACACGCTCACTCGGATCACTCGCTCGCTCACTTGCTCACTCACTCGGTCACCCACTTGCTCGCTCGCTCACCCGCTCGCTTCCCGCCCGCCCGCTCGCCCGCTTGCTTGGTAAACTCGCTTCCTCGCTCTCTCCGCTCGCTCACTCAGTACAGCCCCCTCGCTCACCGCTCTCAGTTGATGATGATCAATGTGAGATGATGACGATGATGACCATCGTGACTCTAACCAGGTTAACGATATCAGCGATGTTAACGAGGTTAACGATGAAAACGATGTTAACGACGACGTCGCCCCGCAGGCCGTGTTCGACTGCGTAGTGAACTCGCTGAAGAACGTCCTCAACATCCTCATCGTCTACATCCTCTTCATGTTCATCTTCGCCGTCATCGCTGTGCAGCTCTTCAAGGGGCGCTTCTTCTTCTGCAGCGACAACTCCAAGGATCTCGAGAAGGACTGCAGGTGAGGGCAGCAGCACAGCCATGGATTCTTGAATCCATCTGTGTGGAGCGTTGAGTGTGTCCGCCCCTCCCCCACAGCCCCGCCCACCCTGCCTCCCGCCCACCACGCGAAGTGAAACTCGCACTCCTTTCGCAGCAATGGGCGCCGCGGTGACTAGGAGACTACCTCGCCTGGTGTGCAGAAGGTCGTGGGTTCGATCCCGACCCTGACGCCTGCTGTGTATTTGAAGTTTCCCTGTCTCTCTTCGTGGTCGCGTGGATTTTTCTCCGCGTCCTCTGGTTTTTCCCTCCACATTTATAATCAACATCACAACGCATTTAGAGTATTTCGCTGCTGCTATAAATGTCCACACGATGATGATGATGATGATGATCCACTTCGTTGAGCTATCATTTTCGATGGCCAGGTCTCTTCTCAAAAAGAGCTACACAGCTCAGTGGGCCTTACCTGGTAAAATATTAAAATAGTTTTTACTTGTACGCATCCGCAACGTAGCGGAGCCCCTCTTAAAATGGGGAGTGGCGGCGCTGTGTAAGCGGTTAGCGCGTCACGCTACGAGCCCCGGCTACCCGAGTTCGATTCCCACTCCCGGCCATCTCCGGCGACGATTACCTCAACCGGCTACTGGGCCTCCTCCGCTATGTCGACTCAAATGAGCACCTGGCGCGGTGCGTCGTAAACGTCGCCGCTCGGGAGACAAAGGCGACGGGGCACGGTGCCGGCCGCCCGGCCTCCGCCGCCGCGTCGCTCGCCCACGGCGTCGCGTCGCGGCCACGCGGGGGATCTCTGTGTGACGTGTGCGCGCCCCCAGGGGCTACTTCCTGGAGTACAAAAAGAACACGGTGGCCGAGGCGAAGAAGCGCGAGTGGCAGAAGTTCGACTTCCACTACGACAACGTCCTGTGGGCCTTCCTCACGCTCTTCACCGTGTCCACTGGGGAGGGATGGCCTCAGTGAGTGGCCGGCGCCGCCCGTGGTACCGCTGCTGTTCGTGTTCACTTTGTTGTCCTTCCCCGCACCTCCGGTTCACATGGTTCACGCCGCTCCATGCGCTCCACGCGTTCACGCTCTGCACACTCCACGCATTCACACTGCCCCACGCGTCGACGTGGCTCCGCAGGGTGCTCATGCGCTCGGTGCAGGCGACTTACGAGGACCAGGGGCCCAGCCCCGGCTACCGCATGGAGATGGCCATCTTCTACGTCGTCTACTTCATCGTCTTCCCCTTCTTCTTCGTCAACATCTTCGTGGCGCTCATCATCATCACCTTCCAGGAGCAAGGCGACAAGGTCATGTCCGAGTACAGCCTCGAGAAGAACGAGGTGCGTGCGCGTGTGTGAGTGTGCGTACGTGTGGTGTCCATGCGGTGTCCGTGTGGTGTCCGTGTGTCCGTGTGGTGTCCGTGCGGTGTCCGTGTGGTGTCCGTGTGGTGTCCGTGCGGTGTCCGTGCGGTGTCCGTGTGTCCGTGGTGTCCGTGGTGTCCGTGTGGTGTCCGTGTGGTGTCCGTGTGGTGTCCGTGTGTTGTCCGTGCGGTGTTCGTGTGGTGTCTGTGCGGTGTCCGCGTGTTGTCCGTGCCGTGTCCGTGTGTTGTCCGTGCGGTGTCCGTGTGATGTCCGTGCGGTGTCCGTGCGGTGTCCGTGTGTTGTCCGTGTGGTGTCCGTGTGGTGTCCGTGTGGTGTCCGTGTGTTGTCCGTGTGTTGTCCGTGTGATGTCCGTGTGATGTCCGTGTGGTGTCCGTGTGTTGTCCGTGTGGTGTCCGTGTGTTGTCCGTGTGTTGTCCGTGTGATGTCCGTGTGATGTCCGTGTGTTGTCCGTGTGGTGTCCGTGTGATGTCCGTGTGGTGTCCGTGTGTTGTCCGTGTGGTGTCCGTGTGTTGTCCGTGTGATGTCCGTGTGGTGTCCGTGTGGTGTCCGTGTGTGCGTGCCACAGCGCGCCTGCATCGACTTCTCCATCAGCGCCAAGCCGCTGACCAAGCACATGCCCCAGAACCGCAACACCTTCCAGTACAAGATGTGGAAGTTCGTCGTCTCCTCCTCCTTTGAGTACTTCATCATGACCATGATCGCCCTCAACACCGTCGTGCTCATGATGAAGGTGGGTGGGGGGGGTGGGCGGGGCGGGGCTGGGGGGGGGGGCGGGCCGGGGGGGTGGGCAGGGCCGGGGGGGGCGGGCCACTTCAGTGCTCGCCCCTGACACAATCAGAATCTACACTGGAGGAGCTCTTTTCTCACAGATGTCCAGTAGGGGCACGGGGCAAACTACAAAAGGTTTAAAAAAATCACCCAATCGCATTCAAACACCTTTAAATCATCCCCATCGTCACCAGCCAAACCCCACTTAGGTTGTTCACTTATTTTCAGAAGCGACCTGGCTGCCACAAATGATAGCCGTTCAACAAAGTGGCGGATCATCATTTGGACATTTTTAGCAGCAAAATGATCTAAATAGTCTCATTATCATCATCGTCGTCGTCATCGTCGTCATCATCGTGCTGCTGCTGTCACCAACCCCCCATGATGGTTTCAAACGGTGTGGTAGCATCCACACACACCGCTGAAGTCTTATCGGCATCCACACACAGAGCTGACGTCTTTTCGGCATCCACACACACCGCTGAAGTCTTATCGGCATCCACACACACCGCTGAAGTCTTATCAGCATCCACACACACCGCTGAAGTCTTATCGGCATCCACACACACCATTGAAGTCTTATCGACATCCACACACCGCTGAAGTCTTATCGGCATCCACACACAGAGCTGACGTCTTTTCGGCATCCACCCACACCGCTGAAGTCTTATCGGCATCCACACACACCGCTGAAGTCTTTTCGGCATCACACACACCATTGAAGTCTTATCGACATCCACACACGACGCCGCTGAAGTCTTATCGGCATCCACACACACCACTGACGTCTTATCGGCATCCACACACACCGCTGACGTATTATCGGCATCCACACACACCACTGACGTCTTATCGGCATCCACACACACCGCTGAAGTCTTATCGGCATCCACACACATAACTGACGTCTTATCGGCATCCACACACACCACTGACGTCTTATCGGCATCCACACACACCGCTGAAGTCTTATCGGCATCCACACACACCGCTGACGTCTTATCGGCATCCACACACACCGCTGAAGTCTTATCGGCATCCACACACACCGCTGAAGTCTTATCGGCATCCACACACACCGCTGAAGTCTTATCGGCATCCACACACACCGCTGAAGTCTTATCGGCATCCACACACACCGCTGAAGTCTTATCGGCATCCACACACACCGCTGACGTCTTATCGGCAAAAGTGGCACCCCCCCCCCCCCCACCTCTGAAATTGTAGTGAAGGACGCTGCTCTGTGTGGTTTTTTTACCACTCGCACCGACCGTGCCGTGCCGTGCCGAGCTCTGCCGTGCTGTGCCGTGCCGTGCTGAGGCGAGTCCATACATAGCCGTGCCGTGCCGAGATTGCACGCGGTGAGCGAGTCGATGAAAAAGCGACCAACGCGACAAATTTATATTTCGCATTTTATCAAAGGGGAATTTTCTTTCTTTTTCCCCGTGGCAAAATGGAACGCCATGACCATGGCCATGGTGATAACGATGGCGGTGGGCACGGTGGTGGTGGCAGCGACGGCGGTGACTTTCACAACCGATGTTAGGATTCAGAATTCATGTTTTGGTCAGGCCGCCTGCGTCGTAACAATTTGGCGAGTTCCAAGATCCAGGAAGTCGCAATCATTATCACTTCCTGGGTGTTTTATTCTGACGATGATGACGATGTCGTCGCCGATGATGATGATGATAGCAACGATAACGCTGACATTGATGACGCTGATGAAGATAATGATGTTGAAGATGATCATGAAGATGTAAATAATGTTAATAATGACGACGACGACGATGATAATCGCGACGTTGACGACGATCATGATGATCGTCACGACGCTGACCGTGATGATGATGACAATGACGACGGTCGTTGGTTCTGCCCGTGCAGTTTCACAACGCCCCTGTGGAATATGAGCAAGTGCTGAAATACCTGAACATCGTCTTCACCGTGCTCTTCTTCATGGAGTGCCAGCTCAAGATCATCGCCTTCGGGACCCTGGTGAGCCGCTCCGCACCTCACCTGCGCACGGTAGAAGTTGATGCCGCTGGTCGCGTTTTTATAAAAAACGACACGAGGCAGACAGAGAGGGGAGAGAGTTTTTGCCGGCTGGTGTGCAGGCGGGCAAAGGAGCAGGTGGTGACGTCACCGCGCCCCCCCCACCCCCAACCATAATCAGTAAGCGAGCGAATATCACAACCAATTCTGTATCCCTCCACCTTGGACGCCCCGCGGTGACCAGCGTGGTGAAGTATGGTCAGCCAAGCAGCTGAGATGACGGCCGGCCAGCCGGCCGGCATAGCGGTGGCCGGGCGGATTGTTACGGCGAGGGATCGTGGCCGCGGCCGTTAGTCCAGCAGTGGATCGACCACGGCTGATGGCATGGACAAATGCAGAGACGGGAGACGGGTGGTGGCGGACGGCGATGGACGGCCGCGTTGTCGTCATCGTTGTCGTCATCGTTGTTTTTGTTGACGCGTCTCTGCTCAGAACTACTTCAAAGACTCGTGGAACATATTCGACTTTGTCACGGTGATCGGCAGCGTGACGGATATTGTGGTGACGGAGCTCATCAAGGTGAGCAGCACCGGCGGTGAAACACCGCCAACGCGTACCGGTCGCCAGCCGGCCGCTGCTTCATCTCGCGCTTGCATCTATCCTCCATCCCGCTCCTTACTGTACCATCCACATTCACGCTCCCGCCATTCCTCCACCATCGCCTCCTTCCCCTGCTGCCATATCAACATTATTTGTCCAAACCCGGTTACTCACGGCATACTACCCCAGCCGTCTTTCCCTTAGTTTGGCATTTTGTACCGTAGTCGGTAAGCACTATCAAGCGCCTCGGCGATAGTCGCCTTTATGAATCTAAAATAGAATAGAATAGACACGCACACACGTGCATGCACACGCACGCACACGCACGCACACGCATACACACGCACGCACACGCACGCAAACGCATGCACACGCATGCACGCACACACACGCATGCACGTGCACGCACACGCACGCACACGCACACGCACGCACGTGCATGCACATGCACACGCACGCACACGCACACGCACGCACGTGGACGCACATGCACGCACGTGGACGCACACGCACGCACACGCACGTGGACGCACACGCACGCACACGCACGTGGACGCACACGCATGCACACGCACGTGCACGCACACGCATGCACGCACACGCACGTGGACCGGTGACACCAGGCGGCCACACAACGCCGACGTCGTTCCGCGCTTCCGTTCGGTCCGCACGCCGCGCGGACGAGACGGTGGATGGACGCACAGACACGTGAGCGACCTCGCCCCCCCCCCCCAACAGAAGAAGAATCTGAACCTCAGTTTCCTGCGGCTCTTCCGAGCGGCACGGCTCATTAAGCTGCTGCGCCAGGGCTACACCATCCGCATCCTGCTGTGGACCTTCGTGCAGTCCTTCAAGGTGGGTGCACCCGGCGCGGCGTCGCCGCCTGCGTCCAGCGGCGGCGACGGCGCCGCAGCCTCTTCGTGACGCCTGAGCTGAGGGCGGCGTTTGAGTGCGGTGTCTCAGTGAGTGTGGTGTCTGAGTGAGTACGGTGTCTCAGTGAGTGTGGTGTCTCAGTGCGGTGTCTGAGTGCGGTGTCTCAGTGAGTGTGGTGTCTGAGTGAGTACGGTGTCTCAGTGAGTGTGGTGTCTCAGTGCGGTGTCTGAGTGAGTGCGGTGTCTGAGTGAGTGCGGTGTCTCAGTGAGTGTGGTGTCTGAGTGAGTACGGTGTCTCAGTGAGTGTGGTGTCTGAGTGCGGTGTCTCAGTAAGTGTGGTGTCTGAGTGAGTACGGTGTCTCAGTGAGTGTGGTGTCTCAGTGCGGTGTCTGAGTGAGTGCGGTGTCTGAGTGAGTGCGGTGTCTCAGTGAGTGTGGTGTCTGAGTGAGTACGGTGTCTCAGTGAGTGTGGTGTCTCAGTGCGGTGTCTGAGTGAGTGCGGTGTCTCAGTGAGTGTGGTGTCTGAGTGCGGTGTCTCAGTGAGTGTGGTGTCTGAGTGAGTACGGTGTCTCAGTGAGTGTGGTGTCTCAGTGCGGTGTCTGAGTGCGGTGTCTGAGTGAGTGTGGTGGTGAGTGTGTGCGGTGTCTGAGTGAGTGCGGTGTTTAAGTGTGGTGTCTGAGTGCGGTGTCTCAGTGCGGTGTCTGAGTGCAGTGTCTCAGTGAGTGCGGTATCTGAGTGAGTGCGGTGTCTGAGTGAGTGCGGTGTTTAAGTGTGGTGTCTGAGTGTGTGCGGTATCTGAGTGCGGTGTCTCAGTGAGTGCGGTGTCTGAGTGTATGCGGTATCTGAGTGCGGTGTTTAAGTGTGGTGTCTGAGTGTGTGCGGTGTCTGAGTGCGGTGTTTAAGTGTGGTGTCTGAGTAAGTGTGGTGTCTGAGTGTGTGCGGTGTCTGAGTGCGGTGTTTAAGTGTGGTGTCTGAGTGAGTGCGGTGTCTGAGTGAGTGTGGTGTCCGAGTGAGTGCGGTGTCTGAGTGAGTGTGGTGTCTCAGTGAGTGTGGTGTCTGAGTGAGTACGGTGTCTGAGTGTGGTGTCTCAGTGCGGTGTCTGAGTGCGGTGTCTGAGTGAGTGCGGTATCTGAGTGAGTGCGGTGTATGAGTGAGTGCGGTGTTTAAGTGTGGTGTCTGAGTGTGCGGTGTCTCAGTGAGTGCGGTGTCTCAGTGAGTGCGGTGTCTGAGTGAGTGCGGTGTCTGAGTGTGTGCGGTATCTGAGTGCGGTGTTTAAGTGTGGTGTCTGAGTGTGTGCGGTGTCTGAGTGCGGTGTTTAAGTGTGGTGTCTGAGTAAGTGTGGTGTCTGAGTGTGTGCGGTGTTTGAGTGCGGTGTTTAAGTGTGGTGTCTGAGTGAGTGCGGTGTCTGAGTGAGTGTGGTGTCCGAGTGAGTGCGGTGTCTGAGTGCGGTGTCTCAGTGAGTGTGGTATCTGAGTGTGTGCGGTGTCCGAGTGAGCTCGGTGTCCGAGTTTGGTGTCCGAGCGCGGTCTGTCCGACGGAGCGCGGTCTGTCCGAGTGAGTGCGGTGTGTCCGAGTAGCGGTGTGCCTGCGCCGACTGTCTGCCCACATGCCCGCGTCGTGCCGTGCGTCCCCAGGCCCTGCCCTACGTGTGCCTCCTCATCGCGATGCTCTTCTTCATCTACGCCATCATCGGCATGCAGGTCGGCACCGCACACACACACACACCGTAGACTCACACACACACACACCGTAGACTCACACACACACACACCGTAGACTCACACACACACACACCGTAGACTCACACACACACACCGTAGACTCACACACACACACCGTAGACACACACACACCGTAGACACACACACACACACCGTAGACTCACACACACACACCGTAGACACACACACACCGTAGACTCACACACACACACCGTAGACACACACACACACACCGTAGACTCATACACACACCGTAGACTCACACACACCGTAAACACACACACACACACCGTAGACTCACACACACACACCGTAGACTCACACACACACACCGTAGACTCACACACACACACACCGTAGACTCACACACACACCGTAGACACACACACACACACCGTAGACACACACACACACCGTAGACTCACACACACACACCGTAGACTCACACACACACACCTTAGACTCACACACACACACCGTAGACACACACACACATACCGTAGACTCACACACACACACCGTAGACTCACACACACACACACCGTAGACACACACACACACACCGTAGACTCACACACACACCGTAGACTCACTCACACACACACACGGTAGACTCACACACACACCGTAGACACACACACACACACACCGTAGACTCACACACACACCGTAGACTCACACACACACCGTAGGCACACACACACACCGTAGACTCACACACACACACACCGTAGACACACACACACCGTAGACTCACACACACACCGTAGACTCGCACACACGCACCGTAGACACACACACACACACACCATAGACTCACACACACACCGTAGACTCACACACACACCGTAGACACACACACACACACCGTAGACACACACACACACCGTAGACTCACACACACACACCGTAGACTCACACACACACACCGTAGACACACACACACACCGTAGACACACACACACATACCGTAGACTCACACACACACACACACCGTAGACTCACACACACACACACCGTAGATACACACACACACCGTAGACTCACACACACACACACCGTAGACTCACTCACACACACACACGGTAGACTCACACACACACACCGTAGACACACACACACACACACCGTAGACTCACACACACACCGTAGACTCACACACACACACACGTACACACACACACACACCGTAGACTCACACACACACACCGTAGACACACACACACATCGTAGACTCACACACACACACCGTAGACACACACACACACCGTAGACTCACACACACACACCGTAGACTCACACACACACACCGTAGACTCACACACACACACACCGTAGACTCACACACACACCGTAGACACACACACACCGTAGACTCACACACACACCGTAGACTCGCACACACGCACCGTAGACACACACACACACACCGTAGACTCACACACACACCGTAGACTCACACACACACCGTAGACTCACACACACACCGTAGACTCACACACACACACCGTAGACTCACACACACACACACCGTAGACACACACACACACACCGTAGACTCACACACACACACACACACACCGTAGACTCACACACACACACCGTAGACACACACACACACACCGTAGACTCACACACACACCGTAGACTCACACACACACACCGTAGACTCACACACACACACCGTAGACTCACACACACACCGTAGACACACACACACACCGTAGACACACACACACACCGTAGACTCACACACACACACCGTAGACTCACCACACACACCTTAGACTCACACACACACACCGTAGACACACACACACATACCGTAGACTCACACACACACCGTAGACTCACACACACACACACCGTAGACTCACTCACACACACACACGGTAGACTCACACACACACACCGTAGACACACACACACACACACCGTAGACTCACACACACACCGTAGACTCACACACACACACCGTAGGCACACACACACACCGTAGACTCACACACACACACACACCGTAGACACACACACACCGTAGACTCACACACACACCGTAGACTCGCACACACGCACCGTAGACACACACACACACACCATAGACTCACACACACACCGTAGACTCACACACACACCGTAGACACACACACACACACCGTAGACTCACAAACACACACCGTAGACTCAAACACACACACCGTAGACTCACACACACACACCGTAGACTCACACACACACACACCGTAGACTCGCACACACCGTAGACTCACACACACACACACCGTAGACTCACACACACACCCCGTAGACTCACACACACACACCGTAGACTCACACACACACACCGTAGACTCACACACACACCGTAGACACACACACACCGTAGACTCACACACACACCGTAGACTCGCACACACGCACCGTAGACACACACACATACACCGTAGACTCACACACACACACACCGTAGACTCACACACACACACCGTAGACTCACACACACACACCGTAGACTCACAAACACACACGGTAGACTCACACACACACGCCGTAGACTCACACACACACACACACCGTAGACACACACACACACACCGTAGACTCACACACACACACCGTAGACTCACACACACACACCATAGACTCACACACACACCGTAGACTCACACACACACCGTAGACACACACACACCGTAGACACACACACACACACCATAGACTCACACACACACCGTAGACGCACACACACACCGTAGACACACACACACACCGTAGACTCACACACACACACACACCGTAGACTCACACACACCATAGACTCACACACACACACACCGTAGACTCACACACACACACACCGTAGACTCACACATACACCGTAGACACACACACACCGTAGACTCACACACACACACACCGTAGACTCACACACACACACCGTAGACTCACACACACACACCGTAGACTCACACACACACACCGTAGACACACACACACACCGTAGACTCACACACACACACCGTAGACTCACAAACACACACCGTAGACTCACACACACACACCGTAAACTCACACACACACCGTACACACACACACACACCGTAGACTCACACACACACACACCGTAGACTCACACACACACACACCGTAGACTCACACACACACCGTAGACTCACACACACACCGTAGACACACAAACACACACCGTAGACACACACACACACCGTAGACTCACACACACACCGTAGACGCACACACACACCGTAGACACACACACACACCGTAGACTCTCACACACACACACCGTAGACTCACACACACCATAGACTCACACACACACACACCGTAGACTCACACACACACACCCGTAGACTCACACATACACCGTAGACACACACACACCGTAGACTCACACACACACACACCGTAGACTCACACACACACACAGTAGACTCACACACACACCGTAGACTCACACACACACGCCGTAGACACACACACACACACCGTAGACTCACACACACACACCGTAGACTCACACACCCACACACACCGTAGACTCACACACGCCGTAGACTCACACACACACACCGTAGACTCACACACACACACCGTAGACTCACACACACACACTGTAGACTCACACACACACACACCGTAGACACACACACACACACCGTAGACTCACACACACACACCGTAGACTCACACACACACACCGTAGACACACACACACACACCGTAGACTCACACACACACACCGTAGACTCACACACACGCCGTAGACTCACACACACACACCGTAGACTCACACACACACACCGTAGACTCACACACACACACTGTAGACTCACACACACACACACCGTAGACACACACACACCGTAGACTCACACACACACACCCGTAGACTCACACACACACACCGTAGACACACAAACACACACACCGTAGACTCACACACACACACACCGTAGACTCACACACACCATAGACTCACACACACACACACACACCGTAGACTCACACACACACCGTAGACTCACACACACACACCGTAGACTCACACACACACACCGTAGACACACACACACACCGTAGACTCACACACACACACCGTAGACTCACACACACACCGTAGACACACACACCGTAGACACACACACACACACCGTAGACTCACCACACCACACCGTAGACTCACACACACACCGTAGACACACACACACAACACCGTAGACTCACACACACACACACACCGTAGACTCACACACACCATAGACTCTCACACACACACACCGTAGACTCACACACACACACACCGTAGACTCACACACACACACCGTAGACTCACACACACACACCGTAGACACACACACACCGTAGACTCACACACACACACACCGTAGACGCACACATACACCGTAGACACACACACACCGTAGACTCACACACACACACCGTAGACTCACACACACACACCGTAGACTCACACACACACACCGTAGACACACACACACACACACCGTAGACTCACACACACACACCGTAGACTCACACACACACACACACCGTAGACTCACACACACGCCGTAGACTCACACACACACACCGTAGACTCACACACACACACCGTAGACTCACACACACACACTGTGGACTCACACACACACACCGTAGACACACACACCGTAGACACACACACACACACACCGTAGACTCACACACACACACACCGTAGACTCACACACACACACTGTAGACACACACACACACCGTAGACTCACACACACACACCCCGTAGACTCACACACACCGTAGACTCACACACACACACACACCGTAGACTCACACACACACCGTAGACTCACACACACACACCGTAGACTCACACACACACACCGTAGACTCACACACACACCGTAGACTCACACACACACACCGTAGACACACACACACAGTAGACTCACACACACACACCATAGACTCACACACACACCGTAGACACACACACCCGTAGACTCACACACACACCGTAGACTCACACACACCGTAGACTCACACACGCACACCGTAGACTCACACACACCATCGACTCACTCACACACACTCCGTAGACTCACACACACCGTAGACTCACACACACACCGTAGACTCACACACACACACACCATAGACTCACATACACACACACACCATAGACTCACATACACACTATAGACTCACACACACAACATAGACTCACACACACATACCGTAGACTCACACAGAGACCCACAGACTCATATAGACCCATAGACTCATTCACATAGAGACCCATAGACTCATTCACATATAGACCCATCGACTCACATACAGTGAGGGAAAAAAGAATTTGATCCCCTGCTGATTTTGTACGTTTGCCCACTGACAAAGAAATGGTCAGTCTATAATTTTAATGGTAGGTTTATTTGAACAGTGAGAGACAGAATAACAACAACAAAATCCAGAAAAAGCATGTCAAAAATGTTATAAATTGATTTGCATTTTAATGAGGGAAATAAGTAATTGACCCCTCTGCAAAACATGACTTAGTACTTGGTGGCAAAACCCTTGTTGGCCATCACAGAGGTCAGACGTTTCTTGTAGTTGGCCACCAGGTTTACACACATCTCAAGAGGGATTTTGTCCCACTCCTCTTTGCAGATCTTCTCCAAGTCATTAAGGTTTCAAGGCTGACGTTTGGCAACTCGAACCTTCAGCTCCCTCCATAGATTTTCTATGGGATTAAGGTCTGGAGACTGGCTAGGCCACTCCAGGACCTTAATGTGCTTCTTCTTGAGCCACACCTTTGTTGCCTTGGCCGTGTGTTTTGGGTCATTGTCATGCTGGAATACCCATCCACGACCCATTTTCAATTCCCTGGCTGAGGGAAGGAGGTTCTCACCCAAGATTTGACTGTACATGGCCCCGTCCATCGTCCCTTTGATGCGGTGAAGTTGTCCTGTCCCCTTAGCAGAAAAACACCCCCAAAGCATAATGTTTCCACCTCCATGTTTGACGGTGGGGATGGTGTTCTTGGGATCAGAGGCAGCATTCCTCCTCCTCCAAACACGGCGGGTTGAGTTGATGCCAAAGAGCTCCATTTTGTTCTCATCTGACCACAACACTTTCACCCAGTTGTCCTCTGAATCATTCAGATGTTCATTGGCAAACTTCAGACGGGCATGTATATGTGCTTTCTTGAGCAGGGGGACCTTGCGGGCGCTGCAGTATTTCAGTCCTTCACGGCGTAGTGTGTTACCAATTGTTTTTTGGTGACTATGGTCCCAGCTGCCTTGAGATCATTGACAAGATCCTCCCGTGTAGTTCTGGGCTGATTCCTCACCGTTCTCATGATCATTGCAACTCCACGAGGTGAGATCTTGCATGGAGTCCCAGGCCGAGGAGATTGACAGTTATTTTGTGTTTCTTCCATTTGCGAATAATCGCACCAACTGTTGTCACCTTCTCACCAAGCTGCTTGGCAATGGTCTTGTAGCCCATTCCAACCTTGTGTAGGTCTACAATCTTGTCCCTGACATCCTTGGAGAGCTCTTTGGTCTTGGCCATGGTGGAGAGTTTGGAATCTGATTAATTGATTGCTTCTGTGGACAGGTGTCTTTTATACAGGTAACAAGCTGAGATTAGGAGCACTTCCTTTAGAGTGTGATCCTAATCTCAGCTCGTTACCTGTATAAAAGACACCTGGGAGCCAGAAATCTTTCTGATTGAGAGGGGATCAAATACTTATTTCCCTCATTAAAATGCAAATCAATTTATAACATTTTTGACATGCGTTTTTATGGATTTTGTTGTTGTTATTCTGTCTCTCACTGTTCAAATAAACCTATCATTAAAATTATAGACTGATCATTTCTTTGTCAGTGGGCAAACGTACAAAATCAGCAGGGGATCAAATACTTTTTTTCCCTCACTGTATATACTGATAGACCCTTTCACATAGAGACCCATAGACTTCCCACAGAGAGGAGAGCCATAGACTCACACAACGGCCCACAGACTCCAACAGAGACCCACAGACTCACCCTTCACTCTAACCCCTCACCTCTCACCCCCTCACCCCCTCACCCCTCACCTCTCACCCCTCACCTCTCACCCCTCACCTCTCACCCCTCACCTCCCTTCCCCTCACCTCTCTTCCCCTCATCCCTCACCTCTCACCCCTCACCTCTCACTCCGTCACCCCTCACCCCTCACCCCCACCCGTCACCCTACCCCAGGTGTTTGGTAACATCAAGCTGAATGACGACACGGCCATCAAGGAGCACAACAACTTCCAGAACTTCTTCCAGGCACTCATGTTGCTCTTCAGGTGCCCTGCATGTGAATGTCTTGTGAACGTCATGTGAACGTCATGTGAATGTCACGTGAACGTCACGTGAATGTCACGTGAACGTCACGTGAACGTCACGTGAACGTCACGTGAATGTCACGTGAACGTCATATGAACGTCATGCTTTGTGATATTTGCATTGGCCTCTGTTGCGGTCTACTTCTACCGGTGGTGGTGGTGGCGAGGCCATGGAGGAGGCTGGACCTCCGGTGTAGGCCCAATCAGTTCAGACACAACGTGTAACATTATCTATCATCGTCAGAGACACGTTTTTTTGCATGTTTTGCCACGGTGCACGTGTTCCACCTTATAACAGTGCGCATGTTCCACGTTATAACGGTGTGCGTGTTCCACGTTATAACGGTGCACATGTTCCACGTTATAACGGTGCGCGTGTTCCACGTTATAACGGTGCACGTGTTCCACGTTATAACGGTGCACGTGTTCCACGTTATAACGGTGTGCGTGTTCCACGTTATAACGGTGCGCGTGTTCCACGTTATAACGGTGCGCGTGTTCCACGTTATAACGAGGAATGCGCGCACCGTTATAACCCACCCACGGGTAGGGAGTGAGCTTGGCGACATGTGTGGCGATCCACCAACCCTGGCCACTGCCTCCACAATGGCGCTGAATCACAGGCGGCACCGCCACGTGCAGCGTGGCACCGCTGGCATCGCCGTCAGCGCCGGGACACAGACAGGGCCGCCACGTCACTGGGGTGATGGACGCTGACGCGTGCGGCGCGTGCGGTGGGTGTGCCGTGGGCGGTGCGTGTGCAGGAGCGCGACGGGCGAGGCGTGGCACGAGATCATGCTGGCGTGCCTGAGTGGGCGCGAGTGCGCCAAGGGCACGGACATCTTCGAGAAGGACTGTGGCAGCGACTTTGCCTACTTCTACTTCGTCTCTTTCATCTTCCTCTGCTCCTTCCTGGTGCGTCACCTGCACCAGCAGCAACAGCAGCAGTAGTAGTAGTAGCAGCAGCAGTAGTAGCAGTAGTAACAGCAGTAGTAGTAGCAGCAGCAACAGACCCAATGACCCTGGCCCCCATGACCCCTGGGCTCTAGTGTGAATGAGATTCATTCTGGTCTCTTGAGATCTGACACAGTTACACAAAATCAACTGTAACTCACCCACTCACCAACTCACTCACCAAATCACTTACCCACTCATCTACCCACTTACCAACTCACCCACTCTCCAAATCACTTACCCACTCATCTACCCACTTACTCGCCCACTCACTCACCCACTTACCCACTCACCTACTCCCTAACTCACCGACTCACCCAGGTCCCTCTTACGAGTGAGACTGTCATCCTGGTCCTCCTGACTTCTCACCTTGGCTCGGCAAAATCACCTGGACACTCGAACCTGCTGGGGGTTAATTGACTCCGTCTCCGTGTCCCCTTGTCCCGTCTCCGTGTGTCCCATCTCCATGTGTCCTGTCCCCGTGTGTCCCGTCTCCCTGTGTCCTGTCCCTGTGTGTCCTGTCCCTGTGTCCTGTCCCCGTGTGTCCCGTCCCCGTGTCCCGTCACCAGATGCTGAACCTCTTCGTGGCGGTCATCATGGACAACTTTGAGTACCTGACACGAGACTCCTCCATCCTGGGCCCGCACCACCTGGACGAGTTTGTGAGGATTTGGGGGGAGTACGACCCCGCGGCTACGTGAGTAGAGCCCGCAGAGCCCCCCACTAATGACACATCCCAGAGGACCACACAGAGCCCCCCACTAATGACACATCCCAGAGGACCGCACAGAGCCCCCCACTAATGACGCATCCCAGAGGACCACACAGAGCCCCCCACTAATGACGCATCCCATAGGACCGCACAGAGCCCCCCACTAATGACGCATGCCAGAGGACCGCACAGAGCCCCCCCCCCCCCACTAATGACACATCCCAGAGGACCACACAGAGCCCCCCACTAATGACGCATCCCAGAGGACCGCACAGAGCCCCCCACTAATGACACATCCCAGAGGACTGCACAGAGCCCCCCCCACTAATGACACATCCCAGAGGACCGCACAGAGCCCCCCACTAATGACGCATCCCAGAGGACCGCACAGAGCCCCCACTAATGACACATCCCAGAGGACCGCACAGAGCCCCCCACTAATGACACATCCCAGAGGACCGCACAGAGCCCCCCACTAATGACGCATCCCAGTGGACCGCACAGAGCCCCCCCCCCCACTAATGACACATCCCAGAGGACCGCACAGAGCCCCCCACTAATGACACATCCCAGAGGACCACACAGAGCCCCCCCACTAATGATGCATCCCAGAAGACCGCACAGAGCCCCCCACTAATGACACATCCCAGAGGACCACACAGAGCCCCCCACTAATGACACATCCCAGAGGACCACACAGAGCCCCCCACTAATGACATCCCAGAGGACCGCACAGAGCCCCCCACTAATGACACATCCCAGAGGACCACACAGAGTCCCCCCCCACTAATGACACATCCCAGAGGACCACACAGAGCCCCCCACTAATGACACATCCCAGAGGACCACACAGAGCCCCCACTAATGACACATCCCAGAGGACCGCACAGAGCCCCCCACTAATGACACATCCCAGAGGACCACACCAGAGCCCACCCACTAACGGGACATCGCAGACACCACGACGAGAGACAGCCGCCCTGCTGGACACACAAAGAGACAGACTGACTGACCCAGCAGTACACAGACACACGCACATATTTAATGTACACATCGATGTTAGAGGCACGCTAGTCAGACAAGATGGACAGTTCAACAGATAGACAATAGGATAAGCGGATGGATAGACAGCCAGACCCATGGATGGATTGATGGACAGGCCCAGAGAGAGAGAGAAAGAGATACGTGAAAGTCTAACGGACAGATACGCTGGCAGACAGAAGGGACCGGTGGACAGAGGGATGGACAGTCTGTAGGGGCGAGATGATTGAAGGATTTGGAGGAGTAAAGCTACCACCAAACCTCCCTGGTTTGGCCCTAGCAGTCCTGGTCGTTTCAGAACGGCTGTCCCCGTTTGACAGTCGTGTGACGAGCAGAACCTCATCTGTAGCAGATCAGAATCTGAATCTTTGTACTGGAAGAATCCAATGCCCCAGAAAGCTCTTTTTCACAGATGCCCGGGCTCTCGGTGGTAGCTCTGTGATATCCACTTCCGTGGGCCATTCTGTGTGGACCAGAGGGTCAGGATCACAATATTTGTTTATGCTGGGAGGCATCCAATGAGATGCGAGAGCTCCTTTTCACGGATGTCCAGTGTCACTTGAAGAAGTCGTCATCTCAGTGGTAGCTCTGTAATATCCGCTTCTGCGAGGTCGCTCTCTAATGACACGGAGGAGGAGGGAGGAGGAGGGAGGGAGGGGGGAGGAGGAGGAGGGAGGGGGGAGGGAGGGGAGGAGGAGGAGGGGGGGGAAGGGAGGAGGAGAAGGGAGGAAGAGGAGGAGGGAGGAGGGAGGAGGAGGGGGAGGGAGGAGGGGGGAGGGGGGGGGGGGGGGGGGGGGGGGGGGGGAGGGAGGAGGGGGAGGGGGGGGGGGGGGGGGGGGGGGGGGGGGGGGGGGAGGGGAGAGGAGGGGGGAGGAGGAGGGGGGAGGAGAGGGAGGGGAGAGGAGGAGGGAGGAGGGGAAAGGAGGAGGAGGAAGGGGGGAGGAAGGGAGGAGGAGGGAGGGGGAGGAGGAGGAGGAAGAGGAAGGAGTGGGGAGGAAGAGGAAGGGAGGAGGAGGGAGGGAGGAGGAGAGGAGGAGGAGAGGAAGAGGGGGGAGGAGGAGGAGGAGAGATTTCCGAAGGGATTCTTCTTCGCGTCACGACGACGTCATGATCACCGCTCGACCTTCGCTTCCTCATTTTTCCAATCGCAAAATTTGCTCAACTCCTGCGGGTGAAATGGGGAGACGGAAGGAAAAACGGTCAAAACAATGCCCGTGAAACAGTAAACATGAAACTTTGAAACTATGACATTTTAGTAAATTATTATTCGTGAAAGAATCGAGAGGTGGAAGTGGAATCCATTCCCGCGCGGAACCAAATCCTGCCGCTTGCAACGTCGCTCGCCACACTTCACCAAACCTTGTTGTGTTACTGTTGCCATCTTTTTGTTTGTTTACCGCCATCCCACCCCGCACCCCTTCCTGCGAGAGGGCGCTGCTCCGGTTTTTAAGCGGCCGTCAGCGCGACAGGAAGCCCCTTGGCTCCCCGGTGAACGACGTTGACGCCGCACGTTTCGAAATCCCTTTGCCCGACCCCAACGCCAACGGAGGGAGCGGTGCCCCCCAAGCGCCATCCGCTTCCATGGATGGCGCTGGCGAACATTTGTTTTTTAACAAAGTCGCCGATTGTGTTCACTTGTCCGCATTGGATATCCGCTGCGCGGGTTTTTACGTCGGAAAGATCTGGGCAGATTTGATATGGAGATTTTTTTTTTATTTCCCACTTCCGAGAGCTGCGTCCTCACAGAGGCTTGGCGCAGCGACGGGCGACACGTCGCTACAAAGCTAAAAACCACATGGCCGTGAGCACTGCCCGTCCCGAAACGTCAAACTTTTTAAATAGGGCACTAGATTAATTACTATTAAAGAGAACACACATTCAATGTTACTCTTTAGGTCTTTAGGTAAAGTCACGTGAATTTTTTTTTTCGCCTGAGGACGATTGCTCGTGTTGCGATCAAAACGTCGTGATTTTTATTATTTTTCTATCTACGTGATTTTACCGAAAGACCCAAAGAGTATGAATTCCTGCAGTCACAAAAGCTTTAAGTCAAGATTACACGTTCAATGTGTTTATTTTCCGGTTAATATCAATGAAAATATAAACTTTCGGGAGGCGCCTGGGTAGGAAGCGGATTTGGGGGTGATTACCGCTCCTGCCGTTGCCACCCGTCACTGCCCCGGTACGGAGCGGCGATCCCCGGTGACACCGCCAGCGGCACAGCGGCACAGCGGTGGCGCTGTGCCGCTGTGCTGGGATGTCCGGCGCCTTGCAACGGTCTAGCCTCACTGGAGCAGCGCTCCGATGCCTCCCCTCCCCCTCCAGACGCTAACTCCCACTACCGTGCCATCCTCACCCCCCTCACCCCTCTCTCACACCCCTCACGTCCTCACCCTCTTTCCCTCACCACCCTCACCCCTCTCACCCCCCTCACCCCTCTCACCCTCTTTCCCTCACCCCTCTCACCCTCTTTACCTCACCCTCTCTCCCCTCACTCCTCACCCTCTCTCCCCTCACCACCCTCACCCCCCTTTCCCTCACCCCCCTCACCCATGTTTCCCTCACCCCCCTCACCCCTCTTTCCCTCAACCCCCTCACCCCTCTTTCCCTCATCCTCTCTCCCCTCACCACCCTCACCCCCTTTCCCTCACCCCCCTCACCCCTCTTTCCCTCACCCCCCTCACCCCTCTTTCCCTCACCCCCCTCACCCCTGCCATTGCCTGCTGCCCCCACCCCACCCACACCACCTCACCGCTGCGGGCGATGGCTGCTAGCGGGCGCATCCAGTTCTGGGACCTCTACGACATGCTGAGGGTGATCGCGCCTCCGCTGGGGCTGGGCAAGCGGTGTCCACAGCGCGTGGCCTACAAGGTGCAGACAACGAGAGGGGTGGGGGGGGCCTTCAGCCGATATCGTCGTCCGTGTCTGCTGCACCTTCACCGTCATCATCATTATCAGCAGCATCAGGATCGTCATCATCATCGGCAGCAGCATCAGGGTCGTCATCATCATCGGCATCATCATCAGGATCGTCATCATTATCGGCATCATCATCAGGATCGTCATCCTCATCGGCATCATCATCAGGGTCGTCATCATCGGGAGCAGCGGCAGCGTTGTCACCAGCAGCGTTACGATCGTCGTCACGATTCTGTGCTGTTCCTGCACGTGATACTAGCAGCAGCAATGGTCAGGAGCTCGATGCCAATGTGGAGGTTCTGCTGCAGCTGCTGCTACTGCTGCAGCTGCTGCAGCTTATGCAGCAGCTGCTACTGCTGATGCAGCTGCTGCTACTGCTGCTGCTTCCTCCGGCCACGTCGAGAGGGCTTCAGCAGAGAGAGTTCGTGTCGTGTCGCTGTTCCTCCTCCTTCGTTGAAGTCGCTTAGACTACCACAGTGGGTTCACTGTGCGGTCCGTAGTTTGGCTGACGTCATAATGAGTATAACTATCGTACCTATCATTGTAACTTTCATTATTATAATTAGTCCACGTGCTCTGGGCGCTTCAATTCCTGGAGCAACAGACGCAGCCTGCGGTGGTCTCACAGCATGGGAGGCGTGGTGGTGGCGATGATTGCGCTGTCGTCTGACCTAGGGGCACCCCCAGTGGCAGTTGTCCCTGTGTAATAGTCTGGGCAGGAGGTGGAGGGCTGGCGATGACTGATCGCCGCAAGGTGTGAATCCAAACTGAGAAACTTGCGGCGTAGGCTTCCAGGTTCGCCAAAATGTGGAGCACGGCGCCAGGGCCACGCACGGTGGCGTGCTGCTCTTACCCCAGTGACGTCACCAGGGGGTCTTTGACGCAGCGATAGCCGGGGCGGCCCACCGGACTCACGCCGCGAACCTCCGCCCAAGGGATCGTCGCCATCGCCAAGGGCCGCGAGCGATGACAGCGGACAGCTCGGATATATGAAAGGGGGAGGCCTTCATCTAGCAGCAGATAGATCGTGGCTGATGATGATGATGATGACGGTGGTGGCTGTGATGGCGAAGCAGCACAATCGCTCGAGCAGGGCCCACGAGCGAGTCGGCACCATTCCCATTCCGTCTCCCTTCTCACCGTCCCAGCCCCTCCGCCGCTGAACCTTTCCTACCCACCCCCTCCCTCCCTTGATTATACTTACGAGATGTTAACTACCTCGCCTGGTATGCAGGAGGTCGTCGTGGGTTCGATCCCGACCCCTGACGCCTGCTGCTGTATATTTGGAGTTTATGTGTCTCTCTCTCCCCGTGGTCGCGTGGATTTTTCTCCAGGGCCTCCGGTTTTTCCCCTCGCCACTTTGAGAATCGACGTCACCACGCGTTTAGCGGGATTTGGCTGCCGCTATGAATGTCCACGTGATGATGACGATGGTGATGATGACGATGGTGATGATGAGCCACTACGTTGAGCTATCGCTTGTGATAGCCAGGTCGCTTCAGACAACAGAGCTACATTACTCAGTGGTGGACCTTAAACCTGGTCAAATAAATAACATTTTGATTCTAGTTTCATATTCCGCACGGGCTGCGGTGTTATCCAATGGTCAGCAGAGGGCAGTGCCGCACAAAATCCTGTCCCTTTACAATCTCCCGTCCGCGCTTCCTGCAATTCACAAACTCGCAATGACCAGCGCGGTGAAGTATGATCAGATGACTCCTGCGACCCGCGGATTGACACACGAGGGCAGTGCTGCTAAGTCTACGGGACTCCGTTGGAAGTCGTTGGGTCTCTATTTGAGTCCAGTACTATGGCTCTCTCTCTCTATGCGAGTCTATGGATCTCTATGCGAGTCTGTGGGTCTCTGTTAGTCTATGGATCTCTATGTGAGTCATTGGTGACCGGGGTGGAACCATGAACTGAACTGGTACTTGGGAACCCGGTATAATCGCTGTGGTTGGGCGGCTGAAATCCGGATTCGAACTCGGGAGGTTCCAAGTTGCCGGCTCGGCGCAGCCTCCACATGCTGCAGCAGCAGCAGCAGCAGCGCGAGTCGTGGGTTCGACTCCACGTCCCGGTGTGGCTGTGCGCCTCCAGCTCCCCCCGGTTGCATTGGTCCACCCAGCGGCGCTCGACAGCTTCACCGCAGTCAGTCAGAAAGTCAGTCAGTCAATCAGAAAGTCAGTCAGTCTGTCAGTCAATCAGAAAGTCAGTGAGTCTGTCAGTCAGAATGTCAGTTAGTAAATCAGAAAATCAGTTTATCAGAAAGTCAGTCAGTCTGTCAGTCAGAATGTCAGTTAGTCAATCAGAAAGTCAGTCAGTCTGTCAGTCAGAATGTCAGTCAGTCAATCAGAAAGTCAGTCAGTCTGTCAGTCAGAATATCAGTCAGTCAATCAGAAAATCAGTCAGTCAGAATGTCAGTCAATCAGAAAGTCAGTCAGTCAGAATGTCAGTCAGACTGTTTGCGATCGGCAAGCCGCGGGTGGCGGTGGGGTAAAGTGTGGGTACTCCTCCCGCCTCTTCCGAGACTGTCTTTCTCAGCGTGGAAGAGTAGGCCAAGAACACTCTCAGCGTGGAAGAGTAGGCCAAGAACACCTTCTAGAGAGGGGGGCTCTCTGAAGCTCGCTTGAGTCGAGTTGGGGGAGAGGGGAGGGGCGCTTCTGCCAGCCGTGGCCGAGAGCGAGCGGGCGCCACAGTAGCTAGGAGATGTTAACTACCTCGCCTGATATGCAGAAGGTCGTGGGTTCGATCTCGACCCTGACGATGCCTGCTCCTGTATATTTGGTGATGATGGTAAGCCCACTACTCCGTTGAGCTATCATTTGTGATAGCCAGGTCAGGGCTTATGAAGAAAAGAACGGCATAGTTTCAGAATGTCAAGAAAATTGAGATTAATTTCAGGGCTGCGCCTTTACCTCTTGTCACTAACATGTGCACTCTTCTCTCCCACGTCCCACTTGTGTCTCGTTATATTCTTCGCTTATTACGTCCGTCTCATTATATTCATCCTTTATTATGTTATTTTTATTATGGTATGTTTATTGTGCTTCCGTTTTTTTATTTCTTGTATAGACGCCTTGACCATTATCGTTTTGGTACATTGTTTGTTTATATTGTTTCACATTTTTGTTGTTGTAAGGTCCATGGGTTTCTCTCTCTGTCTGTCTCCGTCTCTCTCTCCCTCTGTCTCTCTCTCTCTCTTTGTCTCTCTCTCTCTGTCTCTCTCTCTGTCTCTCTCTATATCTCTGTCTCTTTATCTCTGTCTCTCTCTGTCTCTCTCTCTCTCTCTGTCTCTCTCTCCCTCTGTCTCTCTATCTCTGTCTCTCTCTTCTCCCCACCACGTTTCACGTCTCTGTCTCTCTGGTCTCGTCTGTCCCCTCTTCTTCCATGGCACAATTGGAAAAACCCACCACAACTATTCCACCCCTTCTTGCTTTCTTTCCAACCGCCCCTGGCATGATGCTGCCGTCTATGGCGTTATCGTTTCGCTATTTTAAACGACACCGATCTTTTTTTGCCTGTTGGCCGCTATCGTTTTTCCACAATGCTATTTAATGATTTATAAACAATCCACTCCAATAAAAAAAATTGTAATGTTACTACGACTGTCATGTATCCCGCGATTTCAAATAACTGTTGCCGTTACGATGAATTCGGTCAAGCGGATCGTGTTTTCTTTACTTTTACAATCTGACTAACTTTGTTACCGTAAAACCGTGATTTTGACTCAACTCATTACCCCTCAATCTCAAATAAATGATCGATAAAACTTTTAAAAAACCGAAATGTCATTCGCTATCTTATCCCATGGTATGAGTTATTATTTATTTCCACATTATTTCGTTACAATCGACGAGAATATCGCCACTTCCACGAATCCTCTCTTCAATTTATTAACTTTCATTACAAATACAAATCGTACATTTGTCAAAATCGACGCTACCCCCACCACCCCACCACCATCGTTCCGTTAAGCGATTTAATTTCCGTTTACAAAAAACCGCCCGGTCGATTGGGTTCTAATCACCGCCGCCAATTATTATTAAATCACTATTATTATTCTATCACTATTATTTTTTTTCTTTCACTATTATTATTTGACTTATTATTCTATCATTATTATTACTATTTCACTATTATTATTTGACTTATTATTCTATCACTATTATTACTATTCTTTCACTATTATTATTTGACTATTATTATATCACTATTATTATTGTTTATACATTCTTTTTATATATTTTTTTGGAACGCGATGATGGTTTGCGCAGAGGACGCATAACGTACACGAAAATGTACGAGCTGCTCAAGCACATGTCACCTCCGCTGGGACTCGGGAAAAAATGTCCCGTACGGGTGGCGTACAAGGTCTGTAAGGAACCCTCCACGTACCCCAGCACCACTACATCACCCTCCACGTACCCCACAATTATACCCCCCATCCGTAAACTGGTCAGACGCTGCAAGTCTACAAGGGTGGGTGGCGCTGTTGGTCTGCGCCGTCAATGTCGCACTGTCTCACAGCCACGCTTCAACAACATCGCTTCTGTGTTCGCTTAACCAGGCGGCTCTTACAACCTTCGAATGCAGCCTTGCACCCCCTGTGGTTCTTCATCGTGAACAAATACAACGCACGATGTTAAAAACATACGGAGGGGTTGATGGAACAAAGTAAGTTGTAACTTAACAGTGCCGTGGCTTAAATTTGTGTTTTCGATTATTTACCTTAGAAAAAAAAATATCTGGCCACATCTCGCCAACCCCCAGAAAAGGCATCTCGCACCCCCAGGGGATGCGTGAACCCCCAGGGGATGCGTGAGCCCCCAGGGGATGCGTGAACCCCCAGGGGATGCGTGAGCCCCCAGGGGATGCGTGAACCCCCAGGGGATGCGTGAACCCCCAGGGGATGCGTGAACCCCCAGGGGATGCGTGAACCCCCAGGGGATGCGTGAACCCCCAGGGGATGCGCGCATCCCAGATTAAGAAGAAGAAGACCCACTGGGTTAGACCCAGGTGGAGGGTGGGGGAGTCACCAAATCCTATAAACAACAAGACGAACCACTGTTTTCTAACTCGGTATCACATCATATAAAACACATATCACATTTTATAGGTGAGATGTAAAATAAAACCGACACTCACTCTCAATAGTTCAAGAGCCGCAGCAAAATGTGCACGTGGTGAGCACGAGACGAGGTGGCTGGGTCCTTGCATGAACAACTCCACGGTCAACTTAGACTAACAATGTCTACTTATAATTAGACTAACAATGTTTACTTATAATTAGACTAACAATGTCTAATTATAATTAGACTAATAATGTCTAATTATAATTAGACTAACAATGTCTAATTATAATTAGACTAACAATGTCTAATTATAATTAGACTAATAATGTCTAATTATAATTAGACTAACAATGTTTACTTATAATTAGACTAACAATGTCTACTTATAATTAGACTAACAATGTTTACTTATAATTAGACTAACAATGTCTAATTATTATTAGACTAACAATGTCTACTTATAATTAGACTAACAATGTTTACTTATAATTATACTAACAATGTCTAATTATAATTAGACTAATAATGTCTAATTATAATTAGACTAACAATGTCTAATTATAATTAGACTAATAATGTCTAATTATAATTAGACTAACAATGTCTACTTATAATTAGACTAATGTCTACTTATAATTAGACTTACAATGTCTAATTATAATTAGACTAACAATCTATACTTATAATTAGACTAACAATGTATACTTATAATTAGACTAACAATGTCTAATTATAATTAGACTAACAATGTCTAATTATAATTAGACTAACAATGTATACTTATAATTAGACTAACAATGTCTAATTATAATTAGACTAACAATGTATACTTATAATTAGACTAACAATGTCTAATTATAATTAGACTAACAATGTATACTTATAATTAGACTAACAATGTATACTTATAATTAGACTAACAATGTATACTTATAATTAGACTAACAATGTCTACTTATAATTAGACTAATGTCTACTTATAATTAGACTAACAATGTCTACTTATAATTAGACTAACAATGTCTAATTATAATTAGACTAACAATGTTGACTTATTATTAGACTAACAATGTTGACTTATAATTAGACTAACAATGTTGACTTATAATTAGACTAACAATGTTGACGTATAATAGACTAACAATGTTGACTTATAATTAAACTAACAATGTTGACTTATAATTAGACTAACAATGTCTACTTATAATTAGACTAACAATGTTGACTTATAATTAGACTTACAATGTTGACTTATAATTAGACTAACAATGTCTACTTATAATTAGACTAACAATGTCTACTTATAATTAGACTAACAATGTCTGCTTATAATTAGACTAACAATGTCTACTTATAATTAGACTACCAATGTCTAATTATAATTAGACTAACAATGTCTAATTGTAATTATACTAACAGTATCTAATTATAATTAGACTAACAATGTCTACTTAGAATTAGACTAACAATGTCTAATTATAATTATACTAACAATGTCTAATTATAATTAGACTAGCAATGTTTACTTATAATTAGACTAACAATGTCTACTTATAATTAGACTAACAATGTCTAATTTTTATGAAACTAACAATGTCTACTTAAAATTAGACTAACAATATCTAATTATAATTAGACCAACAGTCTAATTCTAATTAGACTATCAATGTCTAATTATAATTCGACTGATAATGTCTAATTATAATTAGACTAACAATGTCTACTTAAAATTAGACTAACAATGTCTAATTATAATTAGACTAACAATGTCTAATTATAATTAGACTAACAATTTTTAATTATAATTAGACTAACAATGTCCACTCGTACTATCGTACCGTGCTAATCGGAGTGTGCGGGGGGGGGCAACACGAAATACACAATAAGACATCAGGAATCACCAAGAGATGCTGATGATGATAATGATGCCGGAATCACCAAAAGCTGCTGCTGATGATGATGCCAGAATCACCAAAAGCTGATGATGATGCTGCTGATGATTCTGATGCAGGATGCAATCTCCGGCGATACGCGAATTGTTGATTTGTCAGCCGCTGGGTGGTGGAGGTCCATCGTAAAACAATGGGCATCGTTACCCACACGATCTCACCCAAACCAATCGCATTCCATCCTGCGTCTTCTCGTAGGTTGTGTTCTTGTTGTTCGATTGCCGTGTTGTTCTATTGTGTTGTTCTGTTGTGTTGTTCTATCGTCGTGCTGTTATTGTTGACAGTTTGTTGGTGTCTGTTGTGGCCATTATCGTCGTGTTGTGTGTGTTATTGTTGACAGTTTGTTGGTGTGTCTGTTGTGGTCATTATCGTTGTGTTGTGTGTGTTATTGTTGACATAGTTTGTTGGTGTGTCTGTTGTGGTCATTATCGTTGTGTTGTGTGTGTTGTTGTTGACATAGTTTGTTGGTGTGTCTGTTGTGGCCACTATCGTTGTGTTGCGTGTGTTATTGTTGACATAGTTTGTTGGTGTGTCTGTTGTGGCCACTATCGTTGTGTTGTGTGTGTTATTGTTGACATAGTTTGTTGGTGTGTCTGTTGTGGTCACTATCGTTGTGTTGTGTGTGTTATTGTTGACATAGTTTGTTGGTGTATGTTGTGGTCATTATCGTTGTGTTGTGTGTGTTATTGTTGACATAGTTTGTTGGGTGTTCTGTTGTGCTCACTATCGTTGTGTTGTTGACATAGTTTGTTGGTTGTGTCTGTTGTGGTCATTATCGTTGTGTTGTGTGTGTTGTTGACATAGTTTGTTGGTGTGTCTGTTGTGGTCACTATCGTTGTGTTGGTGTGTAATTGTTGACATAGTTTGTTGGTGTGTCTGTTGTGGTCATTATCGTTGTGTTGTGTGTGTTGTTGTTGACATAGTTTGTGGTGTGTCTGTTGTGGTCATTATCGTTGTGTTGTGTGTGTTGTTGTTGACATAGTTTGTTGGTGTATGTTGTGGTCACTATTGTTGTGTTGTGTGTGTGTTGTTGACATAGTTTGTTGGTGTGTCTGTTGTGGCCACTATCGTTGTGTTGTGTGTGTTGTTGTTGACATAGTTTGTTGGTGTGTCTTCTGTGGCCACTATCGTTGTTTTGTGTGTGTTGTTGTTGACATAGTTTGTTGGTGTGTCTGTTGTGGTCACTATCGTTGTGTTGTGTGTGTTATTGTTGACATAGTTTGTTGGTGTGTCTGTTGTGGTCATTATCGTTGTGTTGTGTGTGTTGTTGACATAGTTTGTTGGTGTGTCTGTTGTGGCCACTATCGTTGTGTTGTGTGTGTTATTGTTGACATAGTTTGTTGGTGTGTCTGTTGTGGTCATTAAAGTTGTGTTGTGTGTGTTGTTGTTGACATAGTTTGTTGGTGTCTGTTGTGGTCACTATTGTTGTGGTGTGTGTGTTATTGTTGCGGTCTTGGCTGTTGGTGGTGTGATATCGTCGTTCAGGCTGCTGTTGTATTGTCATGTTGTTGGCATGGTATTATGGTGTTGCCACTGTGATATCATGTTGATGTTGTTGATGCTTTGTCATTGGTGATGTTGACATGCTGCTGCTCGTCTGCCTGTTAGTGTTGTTGCTGATGTTGACACTTGTTGATGTTGTTGCGGCTGTTTTGTTTTTGCTGTAGTTGTTGCTGTTGATACCGTTGTTGCTGCTGTAGTTGTTGCTCGTGTTGTTGTTGTGGCTCCTGTTGTTGCTGCTGTTGATATTGTTATTGCCGTAGTTGTTGCTCGTGTTTGATGTTGTTGATGGTGCTCCTGTTGTTGATATTGTGCCTGCGTGCTCCCCGCTAGCGCCTGGTGCGGATGGACATGCCGATCGCGGAGGATCGCACCGTGCACTTCACCACGACACTCATGGCGCTCATCCGCACCGCCCTGGACATCAAGATAGCCAAGGGTGGGCACACACAGACACAACAACAACCGCCATTCACCACTAAGTGGCGGTGACATCACCACGACGCTTGTGCCAGGCTATGTGCACCCTGAGGCCACATGAAGTGTCGAACGCCCGCTGGCAGGAGGTCACGGGGCAGACCCAGGTGCCACAGGTCGACTGACTGAGATGACTGGCTGATGCACCACCTGTGCCCCCTACTGTGCCAACCTGCTGTGCTTTAGCCACCCGGCGCTCTGCTCGTTGTTCTGAGCGTCGCTCCTCCACCCTCCGTTGTTGTTGGAGGGCGACTACCTCCAACTGCCCAGTAGCATCCTTCACGAGCCTCCTCCACAGAGGCCGATCTTGACACCGCTGGAACCAGTCATCGGCAAGTCCACTCAGCTCCACGACCTCCTGTACAACATCACTCCATCTCTTCTCTAGCCTGTGCCGCGCCCGTTTAGCCCCCTCAATCCGGCCGAACAAAAGCTGTTTCGGCATGCGGTGGCTGGGCATGCGGGCTACATGACCCAGCCATCGCAGCCTTGCCCACCGGAGGAGCTCACCGATGGGACCTTGCCCAGATCTTTCAAGGATTTGTGAGCTCCTCACACAATCCAATCTGGTTAAACCCAGGATGGATCGTAGGCAGGCCAGCCTAAATGTTTCTAACCGGCGAAGATGTTCAATTAGGGGGGTCCACGTTTCGCAAGCGTAGAGAAGGGAGGGAATGACCGTGGCCGAGAAGACCTGAAGCTTAGTGCGGAGCGACAGACCAGGTAGCTTCCACACAGCGTTACGCAACCGATGAAAAGATATTGCCGCTCGACTGATTCGGAGGGAGACTTCTGCTGTTAAACTGGAGCCGGTCATAAACACACTGCCCAGGTATGGGAAACTCTCCACTCGCTCCACAACTGCCCCATCACCGATTGGGAGTTGTGGGGGTGTAGTGTCCGATGGTACAAAATACCCAGACAGGTGCTTAGTTTTGGTGGGGCTGATGGTAAGGCCCCTCCTCTTAGTGGCACGCTCCAGTCTCAGCAGCAGCGTCTCCAACTCCTCCTCTGAATGAGCAGCTATTACCAAATCATCAGCATACATAACGTGGTTGAGCAATAGGGAGCCATCCCTTGACCGCACCCGGGCATTGATCAGCCTTCCATTATATCTGTACCATATGGAGATTCCCCCGGTACACCTATTGACGGCTTCACGAACAACGTGGTCAAAATATATGTTAAATAATGTGGGAGCCAGAGCACATCCCTGTCGCAGCCCAAGGTGTACAGGGAATGGCTCTGACTCCCGGCCACGTAGTTTTACCCGGGCCCGCTCACCATCATGAAGGTCCTTAATGATCGTGAGCAGAGGGTCAGGTACTCCAAAAGCACGAAGAACAACCCAGAGCCCAGGCATACTGATGGTATCATAGGCCTTTACCAAGGTCAATAAAGCAGAGATGTAGGTCTTTTTGGAATTCCCTACACCTCTGCTGTAGCAGACGGACAGAAAATATGGCATCTGTGCAGGACCGCCCTTTCCTGAAACCGCATTGGGGCTCCGCAAGCCTCTCCTCAGCGTGCCTGGCAAGGCGATGCTGAATAATCCTTGCCAGGACCTTTCCCGGCACACTGAGGAGTGAAATGCCCTTTTAGTTGTTACAGTCTGTGCGGTCCCCCTTCTTAAAAAGGGGGACCACCAGGGCATCCTTCCAATCCTGCGGAACCTGTCCAGTGGTCCAGACTGTTGTTATGATGTCATATAGGGCAGTCTGTGCACAAACGCCACCCTCCCTCAGCATTTCGCTTGGGAGATCATCTCTGCCCGCTGCCTTTCCTGGTCTCAGACTCCGGATCGTCCTCCGTACTTCCTCAACAGATGGCACTTCAGCCAGCCACTCACAGGGGGTGACTTCTTCCAATATTTGAGGCACCACAGCCTCAGCAGGGTAATCCTCACTTTGTGCCACGATGTCTGTGTTTCCCTCCCCCAGGACCTCACAGAAATGCTCAGCAAATCTGCAAACCTGTTCTGGGTCGGAGATTGGATCACCGTTTTTTCCCCTAATGATGATAATAGGTGTGGCGCTGCAGGTTACTTTTTTGATGGAGTTAAATAGAGATTTGTGATTACGGGCCACTGAGGCAGACTCCATCTCCTCAGCAACCCGCGACCACCACCCATCCTTGCAGCGCCTCACGGCTCTCCGAACCTCCGAGCGAAGGCTGCGGTAAGCCTCCTCATTCTCTGACGTGGGATTCTGTATCCGATGGCAGTGGGCCTGTTGCTTTTTCTCAACCATCCTGAACACCTCCTCTGTCAGCCAAGGTCTCTGGGGAGGTCTGGACCGCGTACCCAAAGCAGCCATTGCAGCTGCAGGAGTCACAGTCCTAAACCTCGCCCATTTACCCTCGACATCAGGAGGAGTCAGGGACGATGCCAATCCCAGCCGCAAGCGATGATGAAATTCTCGCTTGCAACTTTCATCAGATAACTGAGACCAGGCCACTTTAGGTTGGAATGGGGTCCTGGGTGTACACCCACCATCGGAGTGGAAGAATGGCAGGCGCATCTTACAGATGACTAGTCGATGGTCAGAGGGCAGATCAGCTCCACGGTAGGTCCTGGTGTCAAGGACATGGGCTCGCATCCGCTGGTCCGTCACTATGTAGTCCAGCAGATGTTCTTGCTTGGACCCGGCTTGCATCCATGATGTTGTGTGGATGCGTCGATGCCAGAACAGCGTGTTGGTAATTACAAGCCCATGGGCTGTACAAAAATCTAGCAGCCTCCTACCGTTGTTATTGAGCTGATCTGGCCCATGCCCTCCAATCACTCCAGACCAGGTGCCAGCATCATGACCAACTCGGGCATTGAAGTCACCCAACATGATGACTCTATCCCGAGGGGCCACTTTAGCCAGCACCTGTGACAGGAGGTCATAGAAGGCATCTGACTCATCGGCTTTGCCTGCATCCCTCCACAGATGTTCATCTTTGGTGGGGGCATAAGTAACCACGACCACCATTCCTCGCCTCCGGTTGATGGGAAGGCGAGCCCAAAGTAGCCTGGGGCTTCCAGCTTCCCACACCTCACCGCCACGCTCCCACGCCCCCTTCATTCTTTTGTTCAAAAGAAGAGCCACACCCTGTTGTTTGGCAGTCTGCTGCCCCGAGTAGAGGACTGTCCACCCCTCATGGTGGCACGAGCCAGAACCGGTCCACCGGACCTCCTGAATGCCACATAGATCCAGGCGGTACCGGTCCAGCTCCCGACAGAGGAGTGGCAGCCTCTCCTCCGCAGTGAGCGTTCGAACATTACACGTGGCCACCCGTAGTGGTTTTTCGTTGTTTCTGGAGGAGCCCCGAGGGTGGAGATTCAATCTCCTGGCTCCGCCAATTGGGGTTTGGGCCAGGAGACGTCATAGACGCCTGGCCCCCCAGGGCCTCCGGCACAAGCTTATTAGTTATATATTTCAGTCATAGTTTAGTGGTAATTAATTGAAGGTGGAGGGGTTACCAGCCCCTCGCACCCGTCCAGAGCTGCACCCGTCCAGACACACACACAGACACACACGCACACACAGACACACAAAGATAAAGATCCCCCATATAGCCTTAACAGACTGTAGGGGCAAGTGCTGTTAGCGAACACCTATGAAGGCCGGAATGGTACACGAGGGTTTGGGTGGCCAGCACTCCGCCTGACCGCCTTAGTCTCCCCAGTGGCAATGGTTTTATCCACCACATACTCATTTAAGGCTGAGTCGACCTCGGGGAGGCCCAGGACCGGTTCAGATAATCGTCACTGGTGTTGGCCGTGAGCGGGAATCGAACCGGGTCACCAGGTTCATGGCGCAGCGCGCTAAACCGCTACACTACCGCTCCCCATAACACAGGCACACAACAACAACCGCCATTCGCCACTAATTGGCGGTGACGTCACCACGACGCTTGTGCCAGGACATGTGCACCTTGAAGCCACGTGGAGTGTCGAACGCCCGCTGGCAGGAGGTCATGGGGCAGACCCAGGTGCCACGGGTCGACTGACTGAGATGACTGGCTGATGCACCACCTGTGCCCCCTACTGTGCCAACCTGCTGTGCTTTAGCCACCCGGCACTCCGCTCGTTGTTGTGGGCGTCGCTCCTGCGCCCTCCGTTGTTGTTGGAGGGCGACTACCTCTAACTGCCCAGTAGCGTCCTTCACGAGCCTCCTCCACAGAGGCCGATCTTGACACCGCTGGTACCAGTCATCGGCAAGTCCACTCAGCTCCACGTCCTCCTGTACCACATCACTCCATCTCTTCTCTAGCCCGTGCCGCGCCCGTTTAGCCCCCTCGATCCGGCCGAACAAATGCTGTTTCGGCATGCGGTGGCTGGGCATGCGGGCTACATGACCCAGCCATCGCATCCTTGCCCGCCGAAGGAGCTCACCGATGGGACCTTGCCCAGATCTTTCAAGGATTTGTGAGCTCCTCACAATATCCAGTCTGGTTAAACCCAGGATGGATCGTAGGCAGGCTAGCCTCCCTTCTCTACGCTTGCGTTTCGCAAGCGTAGAGAAGGGAGGGATTGACCGTGGCCGAGAAGACCTGAAGCTTAGTGCGGAGCGACAGACCCGGTAGCTTCCACACAACGTTACGCAACCGATGAAAAGATATTGCCGCTCGACTGATTCGGAGTGAGACCTTTGCTGTTAAACTGGAGCCGGTCATAAGCACACTGCCCAGACACACACACACAGACACACACACACACAGACAGACACACAGACACACAGACACATAGACACGTACACACACAGACACGTACACACACAGACACACACAGACACCTAGACACACACAGACACGTACACACACACGTACACACGCACGTACACACACAGACACACACGTATACACACAAATAGACACACAGACAGACACAGACAGACACACACAGACAGACACACAGACATACACACACACAGACACACACAGACATACACACAGACACGTTCACCCACAGACACACACGTACACCCACAGACACACACGTACACCCACAGATACACACGTATACTCACAGACACACGTACACACACAGACACACACAGACAGACACACACGGACACACACACACACACGGACACTGACACAGATACGTATGCACAGACACGTATACACAGACACGGACACACACAGACGCACACACAGACACACGCACCTGCGCGTCAGAGCGGGGAACCTGCCGCTGACCTTTAAACCCTCGCCCCCCTACCCTCTCTCGCCCCCCCACCCTCTCATCGCCCCCCCACCCTCTCTCGCCCCCCCCCCCTCAACCCGACGCTGCCCCCCCCCCCCCGGCAGGTGGTGCGGACAAGTTTGAGTGTGACAGCGAGCTGCGCCGGGAGATGATGGCCATCTGGCCCAACATCTCCCACAAGACGCTGGACCTGCTGGTGCCCCCACACAGAGGTGCAGCACCACCCCCCCCCCCACCCCACAGCCATCCACGGCGGTGGACACCGACTTTTTAATTTTACAATTTTTTGACAAATATATTTGTTTAAAATATAAACATTTATATATTCATCTTCTTTGGTTCTTTCGGTAAAGTCACGTAGAATGATAATAAAATAATAAATTGATAAAATAAAATAACACAATAATATTCTCACGACGTTTCGGCCACAACACAAGCGGCCTTCATCAGGTGAAGGGGGCGAGACTGTCTGGTAGGACAGCGCTGGAGTGAAAGAGCCACGTTCAGATACGGCCTTTAAGCTGTGTGAGAGGAACAAAGCGCCCTCAAATTTCAGCACCACGGGCCCCGTTCAGACGGACGAGTTCGTCCATGGTCGGAACAGAGGAGGGGGAGAGAGACAGCTGCGAGGCCCTAGTATGCTCCATATTGTAAAACTATACCATTAACCGTGGTGTGAGAGGTATTAAGAGGCAATGCTGGCGAAAGAGCTGCGGTCTGAAGGTCATCGTAAAAAATACAATTAATACGATGACCTTCAGACCGCAGCTCTTTCGCCAGCATTGCCTCTTAATACCTCTCACACCACGGTTAATGGTATAGTTTTACAACATGGAGCATACTAGGGCCTCGCAGCTGTCTCTCTCCCCCTCCTCTGTTCCGACCATGGACGAACTCGTCCGTCTGAACGGGGCCCGTGGTGCTGAAATTTGAGGGTGCTTAGTTCCTCTCACACAGCTTAAAGGCCGTATCTGAACGTGGCTCTTTCACTCCAGCGCTGTCCTACCAGACAGTCTCGCCCCCTTCACCTGATGAAGGCCGCTTGTGTTGTGGCCGAAACGTCGTGAGAATATTATTGTGTTATTTTATTTTATCAATTTATTATTTTATTATCATTCTACGTGACTTTACCGAAAGAACCAAAGAAGATGAATCATTGCAGTCACGAAAGCTTTAAATCGACATTTATATATTGTGAAAATGCATTTATTATATTGGTTAACACTTTTACTTATTCGTAATTAAGGTTTTTGGGTTAGATCGCGTAGAGTATAAATGTGTCGTAACCCTCCACCACCCGACACAGCCAGTCACGTGACGTTACGACATTTATGTTCATGCGATCTCACCCACAAACCTTTGCAATGAATAATATTGGTCGCGAAAGCCTGCAACATGTTCATCTGACTTTTATTTATAAATATAAAAATTAGTTAATTTTAAAAGTAACATATATAACTTTTTTAAATATATAGTTTTTATAATTTTATTTGATTTACTTATCTTTTTTAAAATATTTTTCCGGATTTTAAAAATTTCGTTTGAAAGTAATATATTATATTTTTTTGTTCTTTCGGTAAAGTCACATAGAATGAGAATAAAATAATAAAATAAAATAACAATAAAATTCTCACGACGTTTCGGCCATTATTTTATTCTCATTCTACGTGATTTTACAGAAAGAACCAAAGAAGATAAATCCTTGCAGTCACGAAAGCTTTAAATAGTAATATATTACTTTAAAAAAAACATTTTTTTACCAGGAGTAAGGCTCGACTGAGCGGCTGTGTAGTTTGTTTTTTCCGGAAGCGGACCTCCCGCCACAAGTGATGGCCCGACGAGGTGGAGTCGTGGTGGGAATGTTTACCGGCAGCCAAATCGCTGCCTTAGACACGTGACGTTCATTCTACACGTGTGTGATGGTCATTCTACACGCGTGACGGTCATTCTACACGTGTGACGGTCATTCTACACGCGTGACGGTCATTCTACACGCGTGACGGTCATTCTACACATGTGTGATGGTCATTGTACACGTGTGTGATGGTCATTCTACACGCGTGACGGTCATTCTACACGTGTGTGATGGTCATTGTACACGTGTGTGATGGTCATTCTACACGCGTGACGGCCATTCTACACGCGGAGGGGTGAGAGAGAGAGACATGCAAAGTCCAAATATGACAGGCTTCAGGGTCAGTCGCACATTCACACAGGCAGTCAGTCGCACAGTCACACGGGCAGTCAGTCGCACAGTCACGGGCAGTCAGTCGCACAGTCACACAGGCAGTCAGTCGCACAGTCATACGGGGAGTCAGACGCACAGTCATACGGGGAGTCAGTCGCCGCAGCCACACGGGGAGTCAGTCGCACAGTCACACGGGCAGTCAGTCGCACAGTCACACGGGCAGTCAGTCGCACAGTCACACGGGCAGTCAGTCGCACAGTCACACGGGCAGTCAGTCGCACAGTCACACGGGCAGTCAGTCGCACAGTCACACGGGCAGTCAGTCGCACAGCCACACGGGGAGTCAGTCGCACAGTCACACGGGGAGTCAGTCACACAGTCACACAGGCAGTCAGTCGCACAGTCACACGGGCAGTCAGTCGCACAGTCACGGGCAGTCAGTCGCACAGTCACACGGGACAGGCTGTCTCCCACGCCGTTTGAGCCGTGCAGGGCTGGTGAAGCGAGGGCTGTGGGAATGTCTGCGTGGCTAATGCGCGCCGGCGTGCGTGTCAGCAATTAGCGCAGCCGCCGATGTTTCCCTAAGCCATTAGTGGCCGAGAGGCAGCGATAGGCGTCGTCATGGCCGAGTGGCCCAGGGGGGGGGGGGGGGGGTCACACCCTGAGCCGGCACCGCTGTAGAGTCCTGGGTTCAAATTCGGGTTCCGGCCGCGCAAAACCACAGGCGACCAGCCAGGCGATTGACCGATTAATTAATGAATTAATTCTCAAGGAGAGCCCTGCCGAGTTGTGGCGGGAGGGTCCTGCTGCTACTGCTGCTGCTACTGGTGCTGTTGCTACTGGTGCTGCTGCTACTGGTGCTGTTGCTCCTGCTGCTGCTGGTGCTGCTACTGCTCCTGGTGCTGCTGCTGCTACTGCTCTTGGTGCTGCTCCTGGTGGTGCTCCTGCTGCTGCTACTGGTGCTGCTGCTACTGGTGCTGCTACTGGTGCTGCTCCTGGTGCTGGTGCTGCTGCTCCTGGTGCTGGTGCTACTGCTGCTGCTACTGCTGCTGCTACTGCTCTTGGTGCTGCTCCTGATGGTGCTACTGCTGCTGCTACTGGTGCTGCTGTTGCTCCTGGTGCTGCTACTGGTGCTGCTCCTGGTGCTGGTGCTGCTGCTCCTGGTGCTGGTGCTACTGCTGCTGCTACTGCTGCTGGTGCTGCTACTGCTCCTGGTGCTGCTACTGCTGCTGCTACTGCTGCTGCTACTGGTGGTGCTCCTGGTGATGGTGCTGCTACTGCTGCTGCGTGTGGGCTTGCGTGCGTTACAACAAATGAAAGCTGCAAGCGAGCATTTGATCAGCGATTGCAGCTGGGGTTGGCATCGTTATGCCCCCCTACACTCCCCTCCTTGTGATGCCAAAGGGAAATGGGTGAAATTTAGGACTGTGGCTCGTGCAGCTGCGTTGGCTGTTGTGGGTTCCCACTCCAGACCTCCCCCGAAAGCCCCCCTGGCTGGGGCGGTCCGCTCTCCGCACCGCCTGCCACTCCGCCGACGAGCACACGCAAAGGACCAGCGCACACTATATACTACACTACTATATACTACACTACTATACACTACACTACTATACACTACACTATATACTACACTGCTATAGACTACTATACACTACACTAGATACTACACTACTATACACTACTATACACTACACTACTATACACTACACTACTATACTACACTACTATACACTACACTACTATACACTACTATACACTACACTACTATACACTACTATACATTACACCACTATACACTACTATACACTACTATACACTACACTACTATACACTACACTATTATATACTACACTACTATACACTACACTAGATACTACACTACACTAGATACTACACTACTATAGACTACTATACACTACTATACACTACACTACTATACACTACACTACTATTCACTTCTATACATTACACTACTATACACTACACTACTATACACTACTATACACTACACTACTATACACTACACTACTATACACTACACTACTATACACTACTATACACTACACTACTATACACTACTATACATTACACTACTATACCCTACTATACACTACACTACTATACACTACTATACATTACACTACTATACACTACACTACTATACACTACTATACACTACACTACTATACACTACACTACTATACACTACACTACTATACACTACACTACTATACACCACTATACACTACACTACTATACACTACACTACTATACACTACTATACACTACACTACTATACACTACTATACACTACGCTACTATACACTACGCTACTTTACACTACACTATTATACACTACACTACTATACACTACACTATTATACACTATACTATACACTACACTATTATACACTACACTATTATAGACTACACTATTATAGACTACACTATTATACACTACACTATTATACACTACACTACTATACACTACACTATTATACACGACACTACTATACACTACACTATTATACACTACACTACTATACACTACACTATTATACACTACACTACTATACACTATCTTCTTTGGTTCTTTCGGTAAAGTCACGTAGAATGAGAATAAAATAATAAATTGATAAAATAAAATAACACAATAATATTCTCACGACGTTTCGGCCACAACACAAGCGGCCTTCATCAGGTGAAGGGACGAGACTGTCTGGTAGGACAGCGCTGGAGTGAAAGAGCCACGTTCAGATCACTACACTACTTTACACTGCACTGCTGTACACTACACTACTATACATTACACTATTATACACTACACTACTATACACCACTACTATACACTACACTATTATACACGACACTACTTTACACTACACTATACACTACACATTGGGCTCTATGGAGGCCCGTCGTTAAGCGATGAGTCATTGACAGGGGTGGTCGTCAGGAGAGGATTTACTGCGATCTGTGGTGCTGGTGGCCATGAGCGGGAATCGAACTCGGGACGCCAGGTTCGCAGCGCTTCCGCTCCCCGCACAGACGAACACTCGAGGGCTGCCACTGGGCTCATCCAAACGCAGTCGACCCGTAGCAGTCGCCCCGTAGCAGTCGCCCCGTAGCAGTCGACCCGTAGCAGTCGACTCTGCGCGTGCGTCGCTCCAACGCCGATTTCTCCGCGGTGTCCGGCGTCCGCACCGAGCCCCCGGGGAGCGGTCGACGGCGCTCGCGAACCTCCTCCCACATTCCGCTCACCGGCTCTCCCCACGGCTCTCCCCATGGCTCTCGGCCGAAAGGAGGAGAGGAGGGGGAGGAGAGGAAGATGAAGAAGAAACCAATCCTGAAATCTGCAGAGGGCTGCCGTCAGTGGCTGCGTTGTGGCACAGGGTGGCAGGGCGATGCTGCGGTAACTCTTGCGCCCGGCAGCAGGAAGGGGCCCACGTTTCTGTGTGAACTTTTTGTGATGCCGCTGCCGCCACCGCCGCTGCTGCTGTGTTGGCGGCGTTGCACAGGCAACAACGACAAGCTGAGCAACATTCGTCAGTTCCACCGTGTGTGTGTGCGGTCTTGAAATGGCAAATGTATAACAGGTGACGTTTCGGGCAATGGGCCTTCCCCATGGGACATACATTAACACGTAAGGGCAGAGGAATGGGTGTACAGACTATGCTAGTCTATGGGTCTGTGTTAGTCTATAGGTCTCAGTGTTATTCTATGGATCTCTACACTACTGTGTGTGTCTCTTTGCTAGTCTATGGGTCTGTGTTAGTCTATGGGTCTCTGCGTTAGTCTATGGGTCTCTGGCGTTAGTCTATGGATCTCTACACTACTGTGTGTGTCTCTTTGCTAGTCTATGGGTCTTTGTTAGTCTATAGGTCTCTGTGTTAGTCTATGGATCTCTACACTACTGTGTGTGTCTCTTTGCTAGTCTATGGGTCTTTGCTAGTTTATAGGTCTCTGTGTTAGTCTATGGATCTCTACACTACTGTGTGTGTCTCTTTGCTAGTCTATGGGTCTTTGTTAGTTTATAGGTCTCTGTGTTAGTCTATGGATCTCTACACTACTGTGTGTGTCTCTTTGCTAGTCTATGGGTCTTTGCTAGTCTATAGGTCTCTGTGTTAGTCTATGGATCTCTACACTACTGTGTGTGTCTCTTTGCTAGTCTATGGGTCTTTGTTAGTTTATTGGTCTCTGCGTTAGTCTATGGATCTCTGTGTTAGTCTATGGATCTCTACACTTCTGTTTGTGTCTCTTTGCTAGTCTATGGGTCTATGTTTGTCTATGGGTCTCTGTGTTAGTCTATGGATCTCTACACTTCTGTTTGTGTCTCTTTGCTAGTCTATGGGTCTATGTTTGTCTATGGGTCTCTGTGTTCGTCTATGGATCTCTACACTTCTGTTTGTGTCTCTTTGCTAGTCTATGGGTCTCTGTTAGTCTATAGGTCTCTGCGTTAGTCTATGGGTCTCTACACTACTGTGTGTGTCTCTTTGCTAGTCTATGGGTCTGTGTTAGTGTATGGGTCTCTGCGTTAGTCTATGGATCTCTACACTTCTGTTTGTGTCTCTGCTCGTCTTTGGGTCTCTGTGTGTGAGTCTTTGGGGTCCTGTGTAAGTCTATGGGTGTCTATGTAAGTCTATTGGTCTCTATGCTAGTGTTTGTGTCTCTGTTCGTTGTTGGGTCTCTGTGTTGGTCTGTGGGTCTATAAATCAGTCAATCTATGGGTGTCTATGTAAGTCTATAGGTCTCTATGCTAGTGTTTGTGTCTCTGTTCGTTGTTGGGTCTCTGTGTTGGTCTGTGGGTCTATAAATCAGTCAATCTATGGGTGTCTATGTAAGTCTATAGGTCTCTGGGCTTGGGTTTGTGTCTCCATTGTTGGTCTGTGGGTCTCTGTGTTGGTCTGTGGGTCTATAAATCAGTGAATATATGGGTGTCTATGTAAGTCTATAGGTCTCTGTGCTTGGGTTTGTGTCTCCATTGTTGGTCTGTGGGTCTCTGCGTCAGTCTACGAGGAGTCTCTGTTTTTCCGCCGGTCTCTCGTCCGACGTGCAAAACTTCTGCTCTCAATTGGCTGTCATCTGGTTTAAATGAAGATCACCGATCTGCTTTAACGATAAAAGGAAAAGCCCCACCACGTCCATCATTCGCGCTGCCCTGCAGTGTACACGGACAGTGGAATACAAAGTAGCCAAGGGTAAGGTTACAGGCCCTTTGTTGATCCACTGCTGGATGAAGGCCTCTCCAGGCCGCCACGATGTACCAAAGACAAAGACCCCCCCCCCCCCACCTATAGTCTTCACAGACCCTGGGGGCAAGTGCCGTCAGCGAGTAGCACCTACGGAGGCCGGGGATACGACGCACGAGGTGGCCAGCACCACGCCCGGACGCCTTTGTCTCCCCCAGTTGGCGATGTATTTACACGCCACCATACCAGGTGCTCGTTTGAGGCTGAGTCGACCTAGGGGAAGGCGCAGGGCCGGTTCAGGATAATCATCACGCGCGGCGGTGTAGCAACCCGTCAACAGAGCGTGTCGGTCCTGAAGCAGGCTTCCCGGCAAGCTTGCGTGAAACGTCGGACAACGCGCCCCCCTCCCCCAACGAAGAAGAAGGAAGAGGAAGAAGACAATGCGCTAGTGGGGGAATCGAAGCCTGGGTTGGATTCCCGACGAGGGTACCGCGCCCCCCAATGGCACACGTGGCACGCTAACAGCCGTCAACGCGCAGGGGAGCCGCGCTCAGTTTGGTGTTTCTGCAGCGCAGCGCAGCGGCGCTTGAATGCAGCTAGAGGGCAACACTCGCACTCTGTGTCTCTCTCTGTGTCTCTGTCTCTCTGTCTCTCTCTCTGTGTCTCTCTCTGTGTCTCTCTCTGTGTCTCTTTCTCTGTCTCTTTCTCCATCTGTCTCTCTGTATCTCTGTCTCTTTCCCTGTGTCTCTCTCTGTGTCTCTCTCTGTGTCTCTCTATGTCTCTCTGTGTCTCTCTCTCTCTGTGTCTCTCTCTGTGTCTGTATCTCTGTCTCTCTCTCTGTGTCTCTCTCTGTGTCTCTGTCTCTCTCTGTGTCTCTCTCTGTGTCTCTCTCTGTGTCTCTCTCTGTGTCTCTCTCTGTCTCTCTGTCTCTCTTTGTCTCTCTCTGTGTCTCTCTCTGTGTCTGTATCTCTTTCTCCATCTGTCTCTCTGTATCTCTCTGTGTCTCTCTCTGTGTCTCTCTCTGTGTCTGTATCTCTTTCTCCATCTGTATCTCTGTCTCTCTCTCTGTCTCTCTCTGTGTCTCTCTCTGTGTCTGTATCTCTTTCTCCATCTGTCTCTCTGTATCTCTGTCTTTCTCTCTGTGTCTCTCTCTGTGTCTCTGTCTCTCTCTGTATCTCTTTCTCCATCTGTCTCTCTGTATCTCTGTCTCTCTCTGTATCTCTTTCTCCATCTGTCTCTCTGTATCTCTGTCTCTCTCTCTGTGTCTCTCTCTGTGTCTCTGTCTCTCTCTGTCAACACAGCGATAACATCAGGGCCCTTCCGTTACCGCTGAGCCCCCAGTCTCATCGTCACGTTAACCCTCAACGCCCTTCATCCCCCCCCCAATCCCCCTCCTGGTTTTAATTTCCTGCCTTCGATCTGATTGTGGCCGGTTTTAATAACACTATCGCGAGCATCCATGTTAGCGCTGTGTTATTGCTTTCCCTATTAACTGCGCTGTTACTACGGTTGTTATTTCAAGTCGCAGTGAGTTCTTGCTCTCTCGAGCGAGCATTGCCGCTCGTATCCCATCCGCAGCCTCCTGCACGGGCCAGTGGTGGAAATTCCACATTCCTATGGCGACGCCGAGATATCTCTGGTGCCAGTGTTGCCAAGTTGAACTTTACCGCAGTGAACTGCACGGTGTCAATAGTAGAGCTGGTGCTGGTTGAGAGAAGCGCTTGTAAATGGTGTGTGGTGGAGAAGGTGGCAACCCTACCACTTGTTCACCAACTCACCAACTCACTCGTTCACTCACCAACTCACCCACCCACACACTCACCCACTCGCCCATTCATCTAGTCACCTATTTACTTACCCACTGACCCATTCACTCACCCGCTCACCTACTCACTCACCCGCTCATCTACTCACCCACCCACCAACTCACTGGCTCATCCACTTACCTACTTATCCAATCACCCACCCAATGACCCATTCAATCACCCACTCACCTACTTACCCGCTCACTCAAGCACACACTCATTCGCTCACCCACTCACATACTCACCCGCCCACCCGGCACAGTGTCCACGTGCGCAACCCGCGTGCCGTAACCTCTGCGCCGTGCCCGCCGTGCCGCCCCCGCAGCTACGGACATGACGGTTGGCAAGGTGTACGCTGCCATGCTCATCTACAACTACTACAGGCAGAACAAGAACCGGCGCTCGCAGCTGGCGCAGGGAGACGGGCAGCAGGTAAGCGCTCGCTCGCACGCTGGCACACTCACACGCGAAATCCCCGCGCGAGAATGGCGAACGGATGGAGGAGTCGACTCGTTACGCCACCGGGCAGCATCCACTGCTCGCTGTAGTAGAGAGAGAGAAAGGACGACTCAGAGAGAGGACGACTCATAGAAAGAGAGAGGACGACTCAGAGAGAGGATGACTCCGAGAGAGAGAGGACGACTATTCAAGAGAGAGAGGGGACGACTCAGAGAGAGAGGATGACTCGGGGGAGGGGACTAGGACTGAGCAGCACGGCCAAGCTCTTGCCGCTCTTGTTGTTGGCGAGCCATCGAACGATGATGGTCAGCCGCGTCACGCGGCGCTCTCGGATGCGCTTCTGCGGCCGTCTGGAATGCTCTTCCCTTCCGATGTTAGGAATCCACTTGGAGCTGTGCACTTTCAAATCATCATCTCAATTGACAAACTAACTGTCTCTTTGTGTTTAGTTTGTTGTCCTTCCAACCCCGCACCTCCAATTCGCGTGGTTAGCTACGTAATGGCTAGAAAGAAGTTCAACGTGGGTACGTAAATGTTAAGGTGTCCTCGGCCCCAACTAACGAGCATTTACACGTGGAAGAAAGCCTGAGAGCGTGCGGGGAGAAAATTCGCGAGTGCGAGGGTGCAACACTCGATTCCGTACAGATGTAGCCAGCGGAAGCGTTGGGCGAGGACTTGCAGGGCTGCGCCTTTGTCTTCATCATTTCCTGGAGTTTTGCCCGAATGAGAGGAAATTTTCCATTAGAAAGCATCAAGCGTCTCGGATTCGCGAACGACGACGCGGTCATTAGAACGAGCCCTGGAAATGATCTCCAGGAAATGGTTTCTGTAATAACAAGCAGCCCCGACAATTTACTGCGGGCCGAGTGGGGGGGGGGAGGGTGGGGTTTGGGGGAGTGGGTGCTCCGCTACTACACTTGTGGGTGTGTTTGGCCTACTCTTCCACGCAGGCCACGAGAGAGTGGGCATACACACGCTTTACCCCACCGCATGCAACTCGCCAAACCGACGACTGACTGGGTGGGACAGGAGCAGCGGTTAGGGCGGATTCATAGTGACGAGGGCATCGTGGTGGTGAGATGTGAACTACCTCACCTGGTATGCAGGAGGTCACTGGTTTAATCCCGACCCTGGCGCGTGCTGTGTATTTAGAGTTTACGTGTTCTCTCCATTGTACCGTGCATTATTCTCCAGCTGCTCAGGTTTTAACCCTCCACATTTTAAATCAACATCACCACGCAATCGGAGTATTTGGCTGCAGCTATACATTTCCACGTGATGATGATGATAAGCCACTTCGTGGAGCTGCTATCATTTGCGATGGCCAGGTCGCTTCTGAAAAAAAGCTACACAGCTCAGTGTGGGCCCTTACATCTGGTATCATAAAATAAGTTTGATCATGATGACCACAGAGGTGACGGTGATGATGACCACACCACAGCAAGAGTTCCGAAAAATATATCGAGTGATAAAATGAAGCTCCGTGGTTGAAGCCCACTGACGCCGCTGGGAGGGGATGGATTTTAGAAACTGGCAGCGCCGCTTCAATTTCCATGGTGCCCTCGAGACGGAATCGAGCTGGCGAGCCTCTGGATTGGCAATTCGTGGCGTCGCTGATTGCCGTCGTTACACCGCCACTGTGGCTAGCGGCGACGGGAGAGAGAGGGAGGGGAATGTGATGAAGAGTTGCAGAATGGGCAGCGAGGGACGGCAGCGGGCAGAGTCCTCGCGTGCCAGGCACGTCCGGCCGTGACACCGCAGCAGCGACCCATCGCAGTTCCATCGCGGCCGTACGATTATATCTGGACTGGTCCTGGGCCTCAAATGAATACCTGGTGCGGTGTGTCAGCATCGTCACTAGGGAAACAAAGGCGGCCGGGCGTGGTGCTGGCCCCACCGAACCCCTCGTGTGCCGTGCCTTCGGAGGTGCTGCTACTCGCTAACAATACGTACGTGTACGTACGCTGAACTTCTGTCACACCGTACGTAGCCAACCGTGCTGATCGGAGCGATGGGTGACCTCCTCCGCTTGTCTAAGAGAAGACTGTGAAAGTGTGGAGTCGTTACTTTGATGGGGTTGTCTTGGGGTGGGGGGGTGGGGGGGTGGGCGGAGCGCAGCGGGAAGAGTGGTTGGGAAGGGGAGGGGTTGTGCGTGTGAACCGCACAATTTTCACGAACATTAGCAGCAACTAAAATCCCTTTCTCGATGTTTTTTTTCTGTTCTGTTAACACGCTTGTGTGTGCGTGGGTGTCTTGGGGGTGTGGGGAGCGGTGGTGCAGCGGTTAGCGCACCCGGCGAACCTGCTCACGGCCACCAACACCGAGTGACGATTATCTGAACCGGTCCTACTGTGTAAACGTCGCCTCACCAACTAGGGAGACAAAGGCGGCCGGGGTGGTGCTGGCCATTCACCCCCTCGTGCCGTGCAGTGCCTTCAGAGGTGCTACTCACTAACAACACTTTCCCCGAACAGTCTCTTCAGGCTATACGGGGGGGGGATGTTTTGTCTTTGCCTTTGTCTCGGACATCAAATTACTCGCACTGTGTGGGTCACATGGCCTTTGTGGTTCGGGACAGATTTCTGAATCAGAGAGAGAGAGACGAAAAGCAGTGGGGTTTGCTGCAATTTCCTGCTGCACTTAATTGGTCTCATTAGCCTTCCTGGGAACTGCGTTGTCCGCAGATCGAATTTATACGATTCCGCGACGCCGAGGTAATTGTTTTGGCTGTGAAGGATTTTTGTTAGGAGTTTTTCTTTTTGGATGGGGTTCTTTTTTTAAAATAATAAATAAATAAATCGCCTGACCCCGTTCGCTCAAAGCGTATTAGCGTGACGCAATCTTTGCGCAAAGTAAAGCCTGGCGATCCGCTCAAAGTCTAAACAAAACGTCAACATTTCACTTTTACTTTTTATTTATTTACTTTTTTTTTGCCCGCTGGGTTTGGCTCGAGAGGTTACAGGCACTGCGGAGCCGGCACAGCTGAGAGGGCCGGGTTTCAGCCCCGACCACAGCGGTGGGTTGATACTCTCAGCTCGGTCACCGACGACTCAAGTCGTCGTCCGATGGTTCTTCGCTTGCCAAGGTCGGGAAGGAATATGAGGCCGTCGTAGTTGGCAGGCGTGCTGGTGGCTGTACAGGCCGATCATTGACTTGCAGATTTTGTGGCAGGTGGTGCATTTGAACTCCTGACCAGTCGGGGCCTGAGTATGTTGAAGCTTCGTGCCTCGTTTGGTCTGCCATTTTAGGCGCTTTGTTGGCTGTGGAGCACCCAGCGGTGTTTTTATCCGCAGCCCTGAGCTCACAGCTTCGGGTGTCGAAACTCGCAGTGGTCAGTTGCTGTTTGGGCTGGGCCTTGAAGCGTCTGCGAGGTCCTCTGCTGTCTCACTTCCCATGACGCAGCTCACTGTAGCGGACCACTTTGGGCTTCCTGTTGTCCTCCGTGCGTAAGACGTGGCCAGCCCAGCGGAGCTGATGAAACAGTAAGACGGATTCAATGCTGGGTGTCTGAGCTCTCTCCAGGACTCTGTTGTTTGTGACACAGTCCTGCCATCTGATGGTCATGATTGAACGCATGACCCAGGATTCTGAGCCGTATGGAAGGGTGGTGACTACAACCGCCATGTATACCTGCGTCCTTGTGGTGAGGCGACGTGAGTGGCTCCGTCAGACGCGTGTGTGGAGCCTGCCAAAGGAGCAGTTTGCTTCGGAAAGTCTGTCGTCAATGTCCTTGGTGATGGATGCGTCGTTGGATTTTACGCTGCCCAGGCATGTGAACTGTTCCACTGCATTGAGATGGGTGTAGTCGATGGTGATTGATGGTGCGGTGTACACTCCACGAGGTGGGGGCTGTTATAACACCTCTCTTTTCTTGAGGCTGATGGTCAGACCAAAAGCATTGGCCGCCTCAGAGAAACAGTTCACGATGAGCTGTAGGGCCTTCTCCGTGTGTGCAAGCAATGCACAGTCATCTTTTGGTCTTGGCAAGAGACGCCGAAGATCTTAAACACTGCCATCTGTCCGGAATCGGAGGTAGAGGCCGTTTGGCAGCCCCTCCTTTGCCTTCTGGAGCATCATCAGCCTGAAGAATATGGCGAACAGTGTCGGTGCCAGCACGCCACCTTGCTTGATCCCATTGTTGACAGGGAAGCTGTCCGAGAGGCTTCCGTTGTGTTTAACCCCGTGGCCTTTCTGCCCGCACGATGGTACGGGACTTGGGAGGGCAGCCCAGTTTGGACGGTATTCTCCAGAGACCATCACGACTCACTGTGTCAAAAGCCTTGTTGAGGTCATTGAATGCGGTATAGAGGCCTGTTCCCTGTTCTGTTCCCTGCAATTTTTTTGTAACTGCCTCAGGGAAAAAAAAACATGGCTGCTGTTCCCCTTTGTGACTTGAAGCCGCACTACTGGCTTTCAGGGAGGACTTCTTCGGCAGTGGTGGACACTAATTTGTCCAGTAGGAACCTGGCCAGAATGTTGCCTGCGATAGAGAGAAGGGTGATTCCACGGTAATTGGAGCAATCAGATTTCACCCATTTGTTTTTGTATAGGGAGACAATCGCTGCATCCCAGGGTTCTTGGGGTATTGCTCCCTTCTCCCAGCAAGATGAGAAAAGTTCTGTGAGGCTGTCAGAAGTGCATCTCCTCCCTCCTTGTACACTTTGGCTGGGATCCCATCGATACACCAGGCGCCTTGTGTGATTTGAGTTTGTTGATGGCAGATGCAATCTTTGACCTGTTGTGGTGTGTCTAGTTCAGTCTTCACTTCGTGCTGTTGGATCTTGGCTATGGATGCTTCTTGGACCGTCCGCTTGTCTGCGAAGAGACTGCTAAAGTGTTCTGACCAGCGATGCACGGTAGCTTCCTTGTCTGTCACAAGGGTTGTGCCATCTGATGGTCTTAGGGAAGGCTGTGTCTGATGCGAGGGTCCATACACTGAGTGTAGGACTTCACAGAATGCTCGTGTCCCCTGT